TGAAAAAAGGCCCGATAGGCGCATCCATTTTACCTGATAAGCATATAGTACATAGAGCCGTAATGTAAATGGGAGAGCTGGCGCCATGTTCTGCTCGACGAGTTCCGAGCCCGGTGTGCGCCGAGTTCGGGTCACTTTTTCGATACATGTTCGATCCAAAATGGCGGTGTAGAATACGTGGTGATTCCTATCTTCTTTGTTTACATCGGATGACCGGGTACCCGTGTATCGCAAACAATCGATTATGTATCGAAAAAGTGACCCGGCGTCACACAGGAGCCTCGGAATTCGGGACCTGGAAAATGCTTAAAAGTGGCGCCAGTTCACCCACTTACATTACGACTCTATGTACTCTATGCTGATAAGGTAAAGGTAAAATGAACACAGGTATACCAGTTCATTTTTGAAGAGCATGTATGGAAACATTAAGTAAAGCTCAAAAATTGTCTCGAAAACTCCACGATGCTATGATCATTGCTTGACGTTAGTGTTCCAGGACGTGGAATCCTGGCTGGACGGCGCTGAGGCTGGGGTTGTTTACGTAAGTTTCGGGAGCAACATGAAGAGTGTCTCACTACCGGAAGAGAGTTTGATGGGTTTAGTAGAGGCTTTGAGTCAACTGGCGCCCGACTATCGTGTCCTTTGGAAGTGGGAGTCGGACGAGCCCCTGCCTGGGTGCGCGGGGAACATTCTGACCAAGGGATGGTTTCCCCAACAGAAGGTTCTAGGTACGTACTGCTATTCTGACATTCTGAGGCTCATGGCGTGCACAGAGTCTAGACCTCGCGACCTATACTACGGTCAAGGGATGGTGGTCAAGATCGTGAAGAGAAAGCTAGAGGTGTCGTCAGCTAAGTTTACGGTTGTTTACTTTCGGTTTGCAGGCGTTTTCGAGTCACTACTATCCACATGAAAACATCAGACTCTCTCAGAAGCAAGAACACAAGCTTAGATAAGTTTTTTAATACTTTCAAACCCTGTAACACTTTAATTTTTAGCCACACAGAAATCGCAACCACAAAAAAGTCGCAAATCATAACTGATAGGTAGTTTTTTTACGATACGATCATGAGACTGATGTTTTCAATGTGGATAGTTGCGAACGCCGCTTTGTTCAGAGGCCCAAATTCGTCGTTGGCGCTTGCAAACCGAGAGTAAACAACCGTCAACTTAGCTGACGACACCTCTAGAAGACAATCCTAGCCAGGCGGTGCCAGGCGAGTGCCGAGGCAGTTCGCGAGATCGCGAAGTCGCGGACGAGGATGACACCTGGTCCGGGGTTGAAAGTGAAAAGATGTGACAGACACGAAGCTTTAGGCATAGGAATAGATTTGGAAAAAGGCATGACACGGCGCCGAAACTAAAATACTAGGAAGGAACACAGTATACGACTTCAAACCGTTTGTTGTGCCGGGCAGCATTGAGTGACCTGTATCGTGTCTGCGAGATGATAAAAGGTATGAGACTGAGACTGATGTCTCGCTCGACACACTAAGTTACGATACAGTACAATGGCGGATGACTTTGGACTACATTTTGCAAGAAGGAACCGCTGTTTCTGGCTCGTTTTAGAGACAATATATATGCCATTGGTTTCTCTATGCAGAAAGGTACTTTTAAGGAAAAGCCGGAGATAGTGGTTCCTAATTGTAAAATTTAATCCAAATATTGTTTCTAAAATGAGCCAAAAACAGATGTTCCTCCTTGCAAAATGTAATCCACCTCATCCTACTTCTCTCCCCACGTAAGGGATCATTTTATGAATGTGTCTGCGAGAAATGTATCATACAGCTGAATAATAAATGTGGTATTTTTTAACAAAACGCAGCAGTTTTTAAAAATGCCTATAAAATCACCTGAGTCAGTGCGCCTCCATTTCCATCCGATATTGTGCAATACTTTGGTGCCGCAATAGTTGTAGGAAGCATCGCGGCGCACCGTACTATACGTGTAATGCATGAAGTATCCTGCAGCCTTGTAAGGCGCTATACTACGCGTCGCGCGCGCCGTGCTGTACGCGCAATGCATGAAGTATCATGCGGTCTTGTAAGGCGCGTTTGGAGCCGTGAGCGCCGCGCCGGCCGGCCGCACTGGCATGGCGCTGTGATAGAATTTACGCAGCGCGTATAGGTGTGCTAGGATTTTTTGAGCGCGCCCACTCGATTTATGCAAGTTCAAAGTTCGAACTTGCTGAAATTATATTTTGTGCGCCTTGCGAGTGAAGACGTTTCTTTCCGGATTCTATTGGAGAGCAAGCATTTTTTTTTTCGACCCTGGAGGAGATCTGTTCCGGTGGATGCACTTTATCAGTGATACTGTTGGCAATTGCTTTTAATTCAAAAAGGGGATTCTTTTTAGAGTTGCACGTTCTTCACTTTTGTACATATGCATTTTTTCCTACGACCTGTTTAATTTGCAGAATAAAGCTATTTTTTTTTATGAGGATTGTTCCTTCATGGTTGAATTCGACAATTCACACGTTGCCTTTAAGACCCGCCTGTGTGAGTTCTAAAAATGCGGTCGTCCGATCTGGCTGAAATTTTGCAGGACTTTTTTTTCACGCGGCACCAATTGGAGACCGTAGGGCTGAACTTTTTCAATTTTTTTATGGAATGCAAATGAGTCCGCGCCTATTGACTTGAATATCTTGGGCTCCACGACACATAATGACAGTAATGGTACTCTAAATTTACTTTCTTTCTCATATTCTAGCTCATCCAAAAGTCAGGCTTTTCATCACCCAAGGAGGCTTGCAAAGTTTCCAGGAGGCGGTTCATTATGGAGTTCCTCTCTTAGGTGTTCCTTTTTTCGGAGACCAAAATTTGAACACAGGAAAAATGTCAGCGGCTGGCATAGGATTGAAGCTTGATCCTGACCATCTTAGAAATGCGCGAATGATACAGGAAGCTTTGAATCAACTTTTACTTGATACAAAGTGAGTATGCTAACCTACAGACTCACACGTATTTAACCCTAACAAATGAGGTCGGTAAAGTGGACTAAATGCATCCTAAAAATATGTCATCCGCAGTATTAAAATATACCAATTTTCCTTCACAAAATCCAAAATACCGTAAAATGGAAAGTCTAAGTTATGAACCACTCGGCAAAAAATGGTTGCGAAAACGTTGTCACAACGTTCACCAAAAACATGGCTGCTATCAAAAGCACGTGCGTGCTTGTAGTGCGCCTTCATTTTCATCCGATACCGTGCAACACCTCAAGGCCGCAATAGTTGCACGAAGCGCCTTGGCGGATTTAATGATGTCGAAGTCAATATTTTCATTGTGTCAAACATTTAGCGCATAACTTTCACTGCCGATATTCATTTTTTGACGATGATAAATTAAAAAATCTCAAAGTACGGTAAATACTGATTGCAAGGACCTTAAAATGAGTTACCACTTGTAAAATAGCAAACGCAAATAATGGAGATGTTGCAGGTGTGAGGGATTTGCGATTTGACCGTTGAATCCTACGTAAAAGTTCGCGAGAAACACGATGGTGCCACTGGTTTTCTCTGAAATCATCTCCCAAGCTCAAAAAATGTAGCTTGATGTAGAGGTGGACTCTCAGGGTAGGGTGGGATATCCCCTCCATTTTGGCCTCAACTTGAGAGCCTTTTTAGAGCTTGGGAGTTGATTTCAGAGAAAACCAGTGGCACCATCGTGTTTCTCGCGAACTTTTACATAAGAATCAACAGTCAAATCGCAAATCCCTCACATATGCAACATCTCCATTCACCGGAAAAAACTAGTCCCTCTCACATAAACTTAATTATCGTTGTGAGGTGAGCATTTAAATTCACACTTAATTATCCGCGAGAAAAAGGATGTTAGTGAAGTTTAACGGAAAAATTTCATTTTACGTGTCTTTTCAGCTTTAAGGTTTTCATTTCTAGGTATGCAGCCAGAATGACGAAATATTCAGAAATATCGAGAGAATTCACGGAGAGAGGAATGGCACATGCTGTCATGATGGTGGAACACATTACTAAATTTGGCGGAGACCATTTAAGACCAATCACAGCTGAAGTCTCGTACCCTGAATTCTTTTGCTTGGATATTTTGTGCTTTGCTATTCCAGTCATAATCTCTCTGCTGTGTGTTCTCATACAAATGATCAAGCGTATTAATGCTTATTCCATTGCTATGGGTCCACACTCCGCTTTAAAAAGAAATACAAGGAATGGTGTATATCCCCAAAAATTGAAGGGTACTAATAAAAAATTGAATTAAAATTTTGAGGAATATGTTTAATTTTAATTGAAGGGCTCGGAGGATAAGGCGCATACGTGCAGTTTTTGCTTTTTCGAGGAATACATGTCTAAAGTTTCGAAATGACATGGATCCTCATGGCGGACAGAAAGTTCAAACAGACTTTTTGATGCTTAAAAATTGGAATTTGGGGGGGGGGGGAGTTTTTCACTGAATATGCGTTAAGACTAATTTCACTTGAATTCATTAACATCCCAATTTCTTCAAAAACTGCACCTATGCGCCTTGCCCTCGAAGCCCCTTATTTATCCTTAAAAAATTTACACTTGGGGAAAGGTTGGGTATTCATAAGGACCGTTTTAGGCTGCCTTGAATTTCCTTAACTCAACAATTTTTTACTCATTGAAGGACTATATTTTACAGAAGGCACTATAATTTCGTCATTTTCAGTCTCCTGTCAAGTCTGATACTGACCTGAAAATGAGCCTGGAGCAAATTTTGGCGAAAAGCGCGGGTTTTGCGGGTATGTGGTCGAACGCTGAAAAAAATCCGCATTTTTCGCCGAAATCGCTCTCAAACTCATGTTTTGGTCAGAGTTAGGCTCACCAATGACAGAATCATGATGCATTCCGGAAAATATAGACCTTCAATGAGCAAAAATTCGTAGAGTTAAGGCAATGGGCCTGTTGCATGCAAGAGATACAGCCGCGCAAATAGACTTTTTAGAGGTTAAATGACACGAAAATCACGATGGTCACATTAAAAAAGTCTGAAATACACTCCTTACTGCGCAATTTCCGTTGTTAGGAACGCGTTTTTTCAAATTTCCCGCGTCTGGGGGCAGTTTTCTAATCACCGGAAACGAGCAAACGGCGGGCTCGGTGATTTCCGGAAGATGCCGAGTCGTTGTTGTTGTTGTTGTTATTTTTTCCTTCAGTTTGTTTACAAACCCAACGTGATCTCCTGTAGTGGTCCATATACGCTTTATGCGGTAACCAAATCGATCAACTTTTAAATATCTAACGCAATCATTCTACATTTCATTTCACGATGTCACGAGCTCCGATTTTTAGGTTATGTTGTCAGTTTTAGTTGACCGGAAATAGCCGCGAGTTGCCGTTAATTGTTTCCGTTAGAGAACTGCCCTCAGACGCGGGAAATTTGAAAAAGCGCGTTTCTAACAACACAAATTGCGCAGTAAGGAGTGTATTTCAGACTTTTTTAATGTGACCATCGTAATTTTCGTTTCATTTAACCTCTGAAAAGTCCATTCGCGCGGCTGTATCTCTTGCATGCAACAGGCCCATTCAGCTAGATTGGACCGAGAAATGGCCCTTATTGATACCTTTCCTTCAGTGGCGTGGCGTGCTTTGCGATTTATCGATTGATCTGCCATTTAAACCAATGAAAAAGGATCAATAAACAGGGTGTTTGCAACAAACACCTTAATAATCAATTCTTTAACATAGCTTCAAATGGGGAATTATTGATCATCCATCATTCGTGCCTCGTCACTGCCCTCCTTACAATATTAACTCATAAAAGAGAAATAAAAGTTCGTAGTTTTTATACTACAAACAGTAACTTCGAACTTCCCACTTAATGTAACTAGACATCGAAATCAATCTATACGTTAGGAAAACAACTAGATCTTTGTTATACACACATTTTCTTCCTCCTTTGATAGGACAACAACTTTACTTTAATTTTGGTGAAAGCAATTCAGCATGCAGGAAAATTCCTCTACCGCAAAATGTACCAAAATTGATTTGATGCTTGATTTTACTCAAGTAGACTCTAGTTTTTCTGTGAGGATCTGAGGAGGGTTGGAATCAACGTAAACAAAAACTGATATTTTCTAACTTATGTCTTGTAGTTGGGAAACTTTTAATGCATTGATCGTATTCTACGCAAAATTTTGATAGGGAAACATATACATATTGTGGTTCTCAATTTTGTACCCTGTCAAACGGTTCATTCTGTAGTTTGTCAATGGAATAATTGAATCAGCTCTTGCAAAAAATGTTCAATGTCCGCTACAGTGTTTCAGAATTTGAGGGGACGGTTCCGCTGTAACTTACAGACACAAGATGGTTTAAGATGTTAGGAGTGTAGATTAATTTTATAGAAAATCCCTTGAGTACTAGTAATTAAATGTTTACTAAAAAGATCGATCTTATTCATTTGTATCATGGGGCAAAAAAATTACTGCAATTATGAAACCCACTATTGGACAACAGACATTTCCGCACGAGCTGATTCAATTGAAGAGCTTCTTTGGGAAAATCATAGAAAATGTAGACAAATTATTACTAAACTGATATGTTTAATTGACATGAAATACTCATAAATTACCCAAAAAATGACACGTGTAGCTTTAAAACTCGATTGAACATGACCAGAAAAGATATGAGGCATTTACAGATATCACACCTCACAAATGCACATTTCCCTCAAAATTACTTTTCTCAAAAAATTTTCATCTGCATCTCTGACAAAGGAAACTGCTTTCCGTATTCCGCTTCGCTTGCAAATCCTACAATTCATCCTATGATCAGTGTAAATAGATTGGACACTGTTTTAAAAAGGGCATTTTCTTAAACACCTAAGATGGCAACATCTGATGCTGGCAGGGATAACCCTGCCCAGAACCCGGTATATTGGGCCATTGTCTCATTTGGACGTATCTCTGCCATAAGGAACTATGTGAAATAAGACACAAACCCTGAGACCCATAAGAATATATGCATAAAAAGGCTCTTGTCATAATGCGCATAGTTCTGTTTGGCAGAAATACGTCCATTTTTACTTCACCCTCTCCGACAACCCTGGAGTATCCCTTGTGAACTTGTCTCCTCGCTTACTGATCAAAGCTAATTTTCCTACGACTTTTTTGCTCTTATCAAAAGTGTGAATATTTTTTTTGATTGAGCTCGCAGCATAGAGGAAAAATATATTTCAACACAAGTAAATATAATGGACATTAAGAAAATTATTGAATAAATTATGGAACAAAAGATATTGCAGTTATTTAATCATTTGCTGACCATTATACTTGCTCATAATATTTTTTTCTATATTCTTTTCATTTGAATTGCGAGCTCAATTCGAATCTGTAGGAGTAATCACACGTTTGATGAGAGTAAAAAAAGGTGTGGGCGAATTTTTATCTGCTGGTAAGCAACAAGACAAGTTGACAACGCATGCACCAAGAATGTTGGACTGGGCAGAGAAACAGGATGATAATGAACAACGAAACTACCAGACCATGTATCTTGGTTTGCAACACTGCAGATTTCCTGTCGTCCTCTATTTTTTAAATGGAAAACTACTCAATGTCAATTCTTGACAACTTCCAGGATTTTGTTTCTCTATGCAAAGAAAACTGAGGAAACTTCAAGGTATGATATTGATTTGTTTGGTTCCCTTCAAAAAAAAAAAAAAATGGGATTGGAGATTTTTAAACATTGCAAATGAGATACCTGGTCTGGTGGTTTCAGTGTCGTAATGTCCCGTGTCCAGTTCAGGGTAGGCAGGTCTGCGCCAGCATATGATGTTGCAATTCACTCTGATTCCCTTTTAAAAACCGTGTCTAATATATTTGCACAGACTTTAAAATAAGAGAGCAGGAAATTCATTCAAAGCGCAGTTTGTGATGCTGAAAAAGGCTTACCTTTGCTTTTGAGATCAATATCACAAATAAGTGAGCAAAATAAATAGTATAAAATAAGAGCTAAAAAAGATCACAGTTGCGTTACTAATTTGTGGACGGAATCAATCATTATTTTTAAAAAAAAAAATGGATAATCACCTTATCAGCATAGGTTCCTTGTACGATTAAAACATTCGTTGTACTGATTTTTTCAACAAAATAGTAAAAATAACAATGAACAGCCATGGATAAAAAATCTTCAAACTGCAGCTATTTGCGGTAGGTCTTCCTCGATGTTGTCCTCTGGCGGAGAATCAATAGACCGCTCCGCATGCATTCCCAAATGCACCAGAATATCTGTAACATAAGCAACCCGGAATTAAACATGAGTGAAATGTACCCTGGGGGGGACAGAGAAAAACGTCTGTCAAGTAATGAAAAGGATTAATTATGGGAGCAAGAGTAAAATATTTTGGTGGTTCGTACGTTTCGATTAAGTTAGAATATAATGATGATGCAGGAAGTCTACAGACTCATCAGGACTTTTATAGGTTTTCCTGACCAAAATGATCAACATTCTCTGACTTTTTGAACCGTCAATTTGCACACATAGAATTGAAACTTAAAAATTTTTGGCGTTAGTTTCACCGCAAACAGCACAAACATGTGAGCCACTTTCTCTTCAGGTATAAAGTCATTCAAGGAAATGAAATTACGATTTCTCATTGGGCCTAATTCCCGTTTACTATTCAGATGATAACTAAGAGAATTGAGTCCCAAACCAGACAAGAATTCAGCTTGATTGCGTCGATGGCAATAATATTTTTTCAAATTTCAAGGTACAAGATTTTTCGGATTTCCTGTCTTTTTCATGATATCAATACTGTGCATCGTCATTGAGCTATTGTGATACTTTGGCTGGAAGATGACAATATTCTCTAGCTTTACCCTGATCTCCTTGAGCTGATGAAATTCCCTCACAAACATAGGTTTTTCAGATCTGTACACTTCCTGCTCATTTTTACTCCGAAAATTTGTCAAATCCCAAAACCCATGTATTTTATATAGATTGTCCTTGCCTTTGGGTATATAATATGATAGATTGTCGTTCGGCTGCAGTTTCTTCAGCTCTTGAGCCAAATGAAGAGCCGTTTTCCAGTCGTTCTTCTTCGCTGCATATTCGATCATCACCGAGTAGATGTCTCCCGAACGAACTAGATCAGAACCAGCGTTGAGAAGAGATTTGCACTGAGCAATACCTGCTTCACTATCCCCTCGTTCAAACAACCTGTGAAAAGTAAAATCTGACACTGATCAAATCTGGAACCGGGGAATTATTTTACATTTGGATTAAATTTAACAAGAAGGAACCAAATCACTATTTTCCGTTTTCGGAACACAATTATTCTTGAAGAAAATGAAACATCATCAGAGAATTTTAAACGTTGCGATTAGGATACGATGTTTCTGTATTACGTCATAGATTATCTTTCTTGAAGATATTTTAATTTTTAGGATCAGTGTTTCGAGAATTAAATACTCATAATAACCAAAAAGTTAAAAAAACACACCATTTCTACAACTCTTCTCTTCACCCACTTTTAGCATGCCCATTTATAATATTCATCTCCTGCGAAAAAACAATTCCTAACTTCAGATGTATTTTGCGTTTTTAAATAAGCAAATACACACAAATAAGAGGCAATTGACAAGATTTTTCAAGGAGGTCATTTTTGAAAAGAAAAAGGATAACATGTTTTCGAACTGAATATTCAATTTCCATTTTGATCAAACTAACTAACAAATTAAGACAGTGACGCAGCATTTTGTCACTTCTCTCTCTGATGTGAGAACGTATCTCTATTTCCATTTGAGCCCCAAAAAGCATGAAGTTACACGGACAATAGGGCTCACTTGAAAATTGTGACATGCCTTTACATCAGAGGAGCAAAAATTTACGTTAAGGAAATAGAGGATGATGGAGGCACGGAAAGAAAAGGAGGATTAAAGATACTTGTATAACAAATACGTACCTCTTGATATCGATGAATTTTTTTACTTGAGAAATTTTTATGGCAACACTATCAATAATATGGCTATACTTTTCCTTCTCCTTAACCAAAAATCGCGAAGCCTCATTTAAGGCACCCAGGGCTTTCTCGTAATTTCCATATTCATCGATTTCTACCTGAGCGCATGCAACATAGAAATTGGCGAGGAGATCGTGTGCTTTCGCTTTTGTATACAAGGTTATGATATTCTTCAGCAGCTCCGGTTTTGACTGCCAGTCTAAGGTTTGGAGATAATTCGCTGCCATAATATAGATCTCCTTCTGTCGAGAGACGTTGGCAAAAAATATGATTTTGTCCGTATCACCAGACTTCAGGAGTGCTTTTATGGCTTTTATTTTGTTTCCAGCTTGAGTGAACTTTTTGGTGGCGACGTGATAATTACCTTGCCGCACAGCGCATTCACCCAACAATTCCAAATACCGAAGCTTGTCCGGGTGATCGGTGGGCGGGGTTAGTCTCTCGGCAAGCTCGTCTGTGACGGTGATGTTCTTTTCGAAGCATAATCGAATTGCATCATCAAACTCTTTGGCCAAACCCAATAAATACACCGCCTTATCATAATGCTCATTTTCTAAGAGAAACTTTGCACATTTTAAAATTAAATCTATATCTGAATTCACGTTCAGTTCCTCCGTGATCGACTGAATTACACTGAAATTTTGGTGTTTGAAAGCAAGATCGATGGCCCGATGGATGAGGCCTGCTTTCTGGTAGAGAAGAATGGCTTTTTCAGAGTTAACGTTTTCTAAGTATCTTGCTGCCTCGATCTTTTCTCGGTTGCCGGCGCTCAGTGCCAAAGTCCATAAATTTTCGTCCATGCCTTGATCTTTGCATAAACGGATGGCGTTTCCGTAAGCGGTCGCTCCAGTGAAAAAGTGAATAGCTTCTTGGATCTGACCCATATTCTCGTATTGCCGTGCCAGATGGTAACACGCTGCTTTATTGCCTGATTTATTGGCAATATTGGCTGCTTTATCGAAATTTTCTGTGAAGCAATGTATTCGAACCATAGAGTAATAGTCTTGGGCATCTTCGTAATACTTCATGGCCCGATTCATGTCTCCCGTGCTTTCAATATACTGAGCCCACCACTTTATGAGTGCTCTGAAAATAAAGAGAGAACAAAAACTAAAAATAACTCGGAAAATTGGCAGTATTTTTTTTTTCGATCTAGGCACATCTTGAAAAATAATTTGATTACATACGTAGACTCGTAAGAATTTAACAATCCCAAGTCATCTCTATTTCAGACAACATAAAATTAAACCAGCCAGAGTTTCAAAAAGATTTTCTGTTAGAGCCAGGAATAAATGTTGATAGGACAAGCTTAACTTATGTAATAATTTGCGAAGAGATAGATGATGTCACTAGTTTTGTCTGAAATCAACTTCCAAGATTGAAAAAAAATGGTCCAGAGTTGCCACAGAATTTAGGAAAAGAATTTTCCTGGCATTTTCCTGAATTTCCTGACACATTATGGTAGTATTCCCAAACAACTGAAAAATGCCAGATGATGAAAAAGACATAAGTTTAAATTGTTTTCGTGCTAATTCTGTTCTTTGAAACATCACACCTATTGGAGAATGTAAGTTAAAGATAAAACATCAGGACATGTGTGCAACGTTACAATCGGAGATAAATACGCATTTATTCGCGCGCAGCCGGTGGTATTTCGGTTCATTCACGGCAGGCGCAATGATAGAACTATTCGACCACGGATGTAAGCATGTTGCAGCCAGCCGGATTGGAGGCGCTTCAAACTGCGAAGATCACGCAGCCGCGTTCCCTTCCCTGGCTAACGCAACGCTGAAATCGCCGCAAACCTATGGGTACGCGTCCTTATTTTAACATTTTGCCCTGTCTTACTATATTTAAATTGAAATATGTATTTAAACTGTAACGATTCAAAAAATTTAAAGGTATTTGATTCTTTTTTAGATTGAAGAAAATGAAAAAACGGGAGTAACGCGTCGAAACTTTCTGTCATCTTTATATTTAAATCATTTCAGAAAATTTCCGGAAAACCTTCAGAAAACTACAGGAAGCTTCGTCAAACACATCGATTAAAGATAAAACATCAGTCGATGTGTGCAACGTTACAATCGGAGATAAATACGCTTTTATTCGCGCGCAGCCGTCGGTATTTCGGTTCATCCACGGCAGGCGCAATGATACAACTATTCGACCACGGATGTAGGCATGTTGCAGCCAGCCGGATTGGAGGCGCGTCAAAGTGCGAAGATCACGAAGTTGCGTTCCCATCCCTGGCTAACGCAACGCTGAAATCGCCGCGAACCTAAGAATACGCGTCATTATTTTCACTTTTTGCCGTGTTTTACTATATTTAAATTGAAATATGTATTTCAACTATGACGATTAAAAAAATTTGATCGTATTTGATTCGTTTTTTGATTGAAGAAAATGGAAAAACGAGAGTAACGCGTCGAAACTTTCTATGATTATTATTTTTAAATCACTTCAGAAAATCGCCGGAAAACCTTCAGAAAACTACAGGAAGATTCGTAAAACACATCGATTAAAGATAAAACATCTGTAGATGTGAGCAACGTTACAATCGGAGACAAATACGCTTTTATTCGCGCGCAGCCGTCGGTATTTCGGTTCATCCACGGCAGGCGGAATGATACAACTATTTGACCACGGATGTAGGCATGTTGCAGCCAGCTGGATTGGAGGCGCGTCAAACTGCGAAGATCACGCAGCCTCGTTCCCTTCCCTGGCGGTCGCAACGCTGAAATCGCCGCAAACCTAAGAATAACGCGTCATTATTTTCACTTTTTGCCCTGTTTTACTATATTTAAATTGAAATATGTATTTCAACTATGACGATTCAAAACATTTAATCGTATTTGATTCGTTTTTTGATTGAAGAAAATGGAAAAACGAGAGTAACGCGTCGAAACTTTTTATGATTATTATTTTTAAATCACTTCAGAAAATCGCCGGAAAACCTTCAGAAAACTACAGGAAGATTCGTAAAACACATCGATTAAAAACAAAACATTAGTAGATGTGTGCAACGTTACAATCGGAAATAAATACGCTTTTATTCGCGCGCAGCCGTTGGTATTTCGGTTCATCCACGGCAGGCGCAATGATACAACTATTTGACCACGGATGTAGGCAAGTTGCAGCCAGCCGGATTGAAGGCGCGTCAAACTGCTGTTTTACTATATTTAAGGTAACTTCAAAATTTTCCATGGACTCTTTCGTCGTTTTCCCTGACAATTCCAGATTTTTCCTAACTTTTTAAAATTCCCTATCATTTCCAGGTTTTCTTGGTACATATTCCCTAACTGTGTCAACCCTGCTCAAAATCTTTTAAAAAATAAATATTTTCCAAAATGAAACTTTCAAAACTACAGACTTTGAAAGCACACTAGTGCAAAATATGGAATGATAGAAATGAGAGAGAGAAAAACTTACGGATCTTTAGATTGTAAAATATAACGTTCCAATGCCAATGGATCGTCCAGCAGCATCCGAGGAACTTGGGTGCGGTGGGTTTGAGCTTTCTCATACATCTGAGCTGCGCCGGTGAGATCATTTTTTGATTCTAGATACTTTGCATAGTTATGATATGTATTTCTAAGGTGAATTCGGTCTTTTTCCTCGGCAATCTTGATTGCTTTCTCCCATTGGTCACTTGACCGATAAAGTTGATTTAGTAAATCATAACGCCCACATTTACGATAAAGGAGTTCTGCTTCTTCCTGAGACAGTAGAAAATAACGAGAGATTTGTGAATTCAACATGACAATCATGAAAAAGTTGATCAAACCTGTTCGATCTTATCTTCCACAGATCCAACGAATATAAAGTAAGAGACGAAAAACGCGAATGAAATTCTTTCAATTTAAATTCAAGGAACATAAAGAAATGTCGAACTAGAAAACTCAATGACATTCTTATCATGATGAAACTCATGCTTAGCCGCAGGGATTTACGATTAAAATACTTTACAAAGATGGACTCACACGATAACATAGGCAATCCCCTCCATTGTGCCCTTAAGGTGATTAGATAGACGCTACATTTTGCATCAGGACAACATGCAATATATCGCACCGATTGGCTCCATGCTTTCAGCTACTTGTCATTTTCCTCGAATTTTGAGATCGCAATTCTGTTGTCAGGAGACTAAAGAATTCACCCATCAATTTTGACCAAGTCAACGTAATAAAGGCATGATTTTCTTAGAGAAAACATATCGCATTCGATACTGATATTGAAACTGCAATCAAATGCAATATTTTTCCTCAAAAAAAAGCCACGCCTTTATTATGTTGAATTTGTTTACAAAAATTGGTAAGTGAATTCTATAGTCTCATGACAACAGAATTGCGATCTCCAAACTCGAGAAAATGATGAGTAGCTGTAAAAATGGAATCAATTGATGCAATATCTTGCATGTCATTCTGACATAAAATATGGTGTCCATCGAATCACCTAAACTTCAAGAGTTTTCTGAGCTTGAAAGTTTGTTTCAAAGAACACTTTTGGGTCTGTCACAAAATTTCACTTACAAAAAGTTCCTAAAACGCCAATTTCTGTGAAAGACTACGTCCCCATCTTCTGAGTCAGATGACAACAGTCCAAAATAATGATAAAGCACTTTAAATGTTACATCATCCTCAGAAGAATTGAAAGAACTTCTTATAGTTGATAAAACAAGCCCCTCTAATTTATTTCGTGTTTTTGATCTGATACACTATTAATTATTATTTCTGTGCTCAAATTCAATGTAAATGCTCATGAAAATTTACTTGTGCCCCACCTGAAACTATCAAATTAGAAGTTGCTATAATGCAGAGGTGATCATTTAAAATGTAGGTAAAATTTCTGAATACTTAAGTGAAACAGACAAAATGCTGTATGTAAAATTTGAACTTGATAGGACTGGAAAATTAAAATTAGTGCAAAGTTATGCATGATGAATAACGTACCCTCATTCCTAAGTGAATGGCTAGAGCAGCAGTTCTCGCTTCTATTTCTGGTTCTTTCTCCGCATTTCGAAGCATAAGCACGCCTCTTGCATCATGCATATTACCTAAACAAACTTTCGCCACATCTAGTCGTTGAGACTTGACACACATTCTTGCAAGACTAGTCCATACCGCCACACTTTTGACGTTGGCGATGGATTTGAAAGCATTGTCCATATCGTTGATGCACAGATAGAAACCGAAATTCAGGATGGCTTTCCGTGTCTCTTCGGGGCAGCTACTGCAGCCGCTGAAATCTTTCATCAACAAATTTTCTATCTTTACTTTCTGCGAGGCTGATGGCTTTTGTAGAATGATATAATTTGGAGAGTCCACCGCCAGCAGTGAAATGAACGATTCAGACATGGTGACTTGATCTTGTGTGACAATCCCATGGTCAGGCGATACAAAAAGATTTATAAGTTTAACCGAATGAGTACTGCTATTTCTGTGAATTTTGGAGGGTGAGTGGGCTTGCGACGCTTTGATTTTTTTTGACCATGATTTTGAATTAGAAGGTAAATTTTTGGCTTGTTTTGTTTCGCAAACCAATAACTTTGATTCGTTGCAATCCCAATGATGCGATATAATGTAGCGGGCGGAGGGTTCATTTTGATCACTACTTTCACTGCTCTCACAAAAACTGTGAGATAAAATAGTATCACTGTCAATTACGTATACAAACAGCTCTGGAGACGGCAATAGGTTTGCTTTTGCGATAGTGATTGAGACTTTTGAGCCGTTGATGTTTGACTTAGCAGACATAACTTCTCCGAAGTCTGAGATGCTTTCGGACAAATCTTTAGGTTTACAGCGTAGCTTGGGCTCTCTACGAGATAGATCCCAAACATATAGAAAACCAGTAATTGTGCACACCACTAAAAATTCATTATTCAAATCGATACTGATTGGCTGGCCGTTACACTCAATGTTTGCTTTGATCGTTCCTTGAAAAGTGTAGACTAAGATCTTGTTGGCACTGTTTAAAACAATCAAGTCTTGTCCTTTGATAAAAGCAGTTTCAACTTCACACGTAAAGGTCCCAATGACATTAATTTCCGTGATAATGCTTGATTGGTAAACCGCAACCGTTTTGTTACTCCAAACAACAATGTACTCATCGCCAATTGCTAGTCCCATGATTTTCAAGTCTGTGCTGAGGTCAGTGAAGTCGTTGGTTTTGTTGTTTTTTAGTAGAATCTGAGAGGCGGAGGTTTGCAAACCTGAAAACTAAAAGACAAGTCAGAATAAAACATTTGTTGTTTTAATAAAGTCAGAAAATAAGTTTGGTGAACTTGTAGATACAACTTTGCAGTTTGCTTTAGCTCTATTCTTGAAATTTGTAGCCAGCAATTAGAAATTTTACAATGGGTGAATGTTCGGTGAAATGAAAGGACAACAAAAAAATGGATCAGGAAAATCTTCAGATCTATGTTAAAGTTTTCCATTTCCACTGAATCTTTCACCTAATTGATTAATATTAACCAATATCAATTAGAAAGCAATGTGTGTGCCTGTCCACCAACATAGTTATACAAGAATGATAGTTTTGTTCCTGCTAGATTGGCATTTTGAAAAAAAATTAAATCAAGAAAAAATATTTTGGACGAGAAAATAATCGTAATCGAAGTCTTTGAATATTGAGTCTCGAGGATGAACAAAACTTCCAGCCTCTTATTTTCGGTTGATACTTGATGGTGCAGGAAAAAAGAAGGTGCATTTCTGTAAACTCAGTCCAAGTGACAAAAGAGGGATCCATTTACTTATTATGTTTTTATTATTTGTGACATATCGTCATTATTTGTGACCAAATCTATGAAAAGGCATTACCTTTTTGCAACTTCATGAAGGAGGAATATCTGTAAATTTTTGCGCAAATTTGACCCTATAATCTAAAAAATGAAGGAGATATAAGACCTGAAGTTCAAAGACAAGAGCTCTTGAGTTGTAAAAAAAACATGATTTAAGTTTTCGCAAAAAGTTAAGGAAAATTTTCTCCCAGGAGATGAGATCTCTTTTCACAGGTCTGGTTACATTTCAGTATTTTAGTGGTCAGCAATTGAAATCAAAACATTGATCCCCTACGAAAGGGGCGTAGCACGTACTCCACCACCAAATCATTATCAACTGAAGAGCTTCATGGAGGTATCTTATATTTATAAATAATAAGAGAAAATGTAGCCTTGATACCTTTTTCACCTCTTTTATACCTTTTGTATCTGTTTGTCATGCAACTAATGATCGAAAACTTTTATGTACTCTCAAAAAATATGAGATTAGAAAAGCCATGTTAGATGGATTGGCTCTACTTAACATACAACTCCATTTAAATTCTGTGGGATCTGCACTCATAGACTTATGCTGCAATAACGCTGCTAAATTGTAATTAATTAATCTACTACCTCCGGATATCTCCTAAGCCTCTCAACAGAGCGCAGCAACAATTGTGTTTAAGCTGATTAGGCACTGATTATTTTGATCACTCATCTGATTACATTGATCTTTACCTCTCTCCTCCATTGTTACCTGTTTTGATTATTGTAGTTTGTAAACCTATTTTCATATGTATTGTCTATTTTTGAAATGATGTTTATTCTATGTTTTGGTACTTTGTTTTTTGGTAAACCAAATATTTGTGTTAAATGGCATGTTAAAATATGTAGTGTACTGCCTGATAATGATTCTGTGCAATCAAAAGGCCTCGTAGAAAAAAGGTAACAAGGCTACGTTTCCTCTTATTTATAAATCATTATCGTCCAAGGGAAAATATAGAGGTTAAAAGCTCAAGAATTAAGAATTACAAAAGTCAACATACCTTTTGATTGTAAAAGACGGAAAGTTTATGCTCTTTGAGAATGAATACCATGTTCAACGTACTTACAGCCAGGTGAGTAGGCCCCCAACAGCAAGATTTCACACTGGACTTGATTTTGCTGTTGGCGATTTCTTCCCAGCAATTTGCTGTCAGTGAATCTACTTTGTTCAAAAACCGCCAGAAAATTACGTTGCCCATGTTTGTGGCTCCACATAACAAACCTTCAAAACCAAAGAATATTTAAACAATCAGTTACTTTTCAAAAGTTTACTTCGTTCAAGGATGGGCAAATTTGGTGAGTTTAGAAACGTTGAACTTCTAGAGGGATTCAGTTGACTCAGACTTGAGTTTACCAAATAATACGCAGTGAAATAGTATGAACCACAAAAAATTTTCACTGACTTCAATAATTCATAAGGTCGGAAAAAAGCAAGGAAATTTTGTATTTCCAATTAAATAACTTTAATGTCAATGTGCAGAGATGAAGTTCACAAATTAATGATATCCTTCCTTTCCTTCCAACTTTGACCCCAATTGAGAGCAGCTACAATGGGCCTGTTGCAAACTTTTGCTAGAGCAAAACTAAGAGTTGTTTCTTATAGATAATGCCTCAAAAATCACGATGAGCGCATCGGCAAACTCTGAAATGCACTCATAACTTCACAATCTGCGTAAGAAATTTGCGGTTTTTTGAGCTTCCCGCTTCAAAAACGATACTACGGCATAGGTGAACATTTTGTTAGAGGAGTCGCTCCATCGTCGGCAATAATCATCATAGCCGACGCCAATCCGCCAAAACACGTTTGATGGGACGAGATAACACCTGAACTGGATCAGACAAGATGACAATCGGTGTGTTAACGTTCATATTTTCCACGCCCGAATTGATTGACCTTGAACTCTCCTTGAATTACGCGCGGAACTGCGTGCAAGCGTCGGCCATGATGAATATTGCCGACGATGGAGCGACTCCTCTAACAAAATGTTCGCCTATGCCGTAGTATCGTTTTTGAAGCGGGAAGCTTAAAAAAACGCAAATTTCTTACGCAGATTGTGAAGTTATGAGTGCATTTCAGACTTTGCCGATGCGCTCATCGTGATTTTTGAGGCATTATCTACAAGAAACAACTCTTATTTTTGCTCTAGCAAAAGTTTGCAACAGGCCCATTGATTGTAATTTGCGATTTTGAAAAAAATGTTTGGACAAACATTTGCGTTTAATTTACTTGAGCCTTGCAAAACTCCCACAACCACAGGTATATTTTTATAATGATAATGTTCATTCCTGCGATGTTTCCCGAAACAGCGTTGGGTAGTTTTGGTCCTGTGCAAAGAAAAATTTAGTATCGAATACTCACATGCAGAATTGGCAGCTGAGTAATCTGACTGTGTTCACCAACTATACTTACATCTCAAAGAAAAATTTCCAAGGGGGTAAAAAGTATTTCAAATGATTAAATTTTTATTAGCGCTGTTGATTTGTATCATGGACAGGCTTTTAGATCTCAGAAAAATCATCTGGGTGCACAATTCCGAAAGTACTGTTCTGATTTTTACAACAACATTCCACAGTTTTAATAAGAATCAAAGTTTATCCACACATGAGAATCAAGTTATAGGTCTCCCTCAAAGACAACGTAATAAATCAATTTATTAAAATCATAAATCTGATGAGACAAAGAAACTAACCTTTTTGTGGAAGGTAATCAATTGATGTGAAGATTTGTTTTGTTACATTAGCACTATTGGTCAGCTCTTGAACTGAAAGAGAGTAACTGTCACCCGTATCAACATGCCAAAATCTGATCGAAAAATCGAGGGAAGTACACGCTAGCAATCCAGTTCCCGCCCAAATAGCAACACAATCACTGTTCACATTATTCAGCTTGACCTAAGACAAAAAGCACATGATAGATTAATGCTAAAAAGGAATGAATTAGATTTCCCTATGTTTGATACTTCAGCTTCATTTTTATCAAGAGCTATAGAGTTTGTATATTCAACCTTTCATAAAATTTTAAAACAGAAAATTCCGATTTTCTTGCTGGAAAATGAAATTTCTAGTTTGTATACCTTATTCAAAGAAAAGAGCATTGCAATCATAACTGAAAAATACTTGGAGAAATGCTTTGGGCAGGCTTGAAAAACAAAAAATCAAGTATAAATATTTTACAAATTTAACCGACTGTTTCAGAGAATTTTAAGCATAATTGCTTATGCAGCAAATTTTTTTATTCATATATTAAAAAAATGAAGTACTTTCATACACATTTCATTGAAAATTAGACATCGCTGGCAACGTTTATAACGAGTCTTAAATGTTGTTTCCAAAACTGTAATGACCAAATAGTATTTTAGCAGTTTGAAAATGCTGCCGATCCAAGTGGAGTTAAAAAAATTTCCTGACTTTGACACAGATGCTTTTATTTTATTATACACGAGCTTGTATGTACGAGGTCTGTCCGGAAAGTATCCAACCTTGTTGATTATCTCGCTATCAACGTTTGATAACATTCTTTCATTTCTAGTTGAATGAAAACCAACCTGGCTAATTTCAGTGAGAGTGCCATCGAGATCAACAGAAAAGTAACTGAAAATACTGTCACCACTACACATGACCAGGGCATCTTTCCGCTCATGGTGCAGTAAACGTTTCACTCCAGTATCAGTTGCTAGAACTTCTTTACTGGTGCCATCCTCATTGATGTATATTACTTGACCTGTGGCAGAAAATTCACATTAGTCTAGCCAAAAATGACACATAATGAGATTGTCTACAAGTAAGAGGTCTAACATAATTGTCTCTCTTTTTTCCCTGACCCTTGGATTTTCTATCTACCAGACTTTCCATGATTTTTTCTGATCTTTCTTTCAAATCAAAAGAGCTGCAATACTAAATAGCTCAGCGCAAAGTACCGGTATGGATCAGCATTCAAAGGAGGCTCGGATTTCCAAGGGAAAAATTTACTATATTATGAGCAAGCGTGCTGCAGGTCTCAGTATCAAATGCCCTGGATTTACGCAAAAAAATCACAATTTTGTGTGGCAGTTCGCAACTCTCCCGATTTTCTCTCCCTGACTACTTCCCGACCAATTTCATCTCCTAACTTTCTTAGTTTTCCCAGCCGCAAAGCACTCTAACATAAAAAGAGCTTCATGCACAAAAGGAATAGAAATTCCCAGTGGTTAATCAAAGTTTGAGTGATTACAATTCATGTGCATGTTTGTGTTCCTCTGTCAAATATTTCTAGGTAGATAGATTACAGCAGGGAATGCCTGAGAATTTACTTAGGATCAGGAAAGTTCACACTTGAGTCACTTAAAATAGATCTTTGAAATGTTCATTTTATCTAATGTGTGTTGTATAATCTTTTCATGAGGAGACATGTCTTGTAATGATTTATTTCTTACTTTTTTTAAAGCTCCATTCTGATGTGCATGGAATGAACACTGTATGAGCATTAAGACTTTGTCAAATGTACACTGGAAAAATTTAAATTTCCATGGAAATTTAAGAGTAGTTTTCTCAAAATTTTTCAGATACGTTCATTTGCAATTTGATCTAAGATACCTAAAAATTTCAAGGAGAAGTACTCATAACTTTCCTCAAAAATTAGTTTTTTAGCAGGAAAAATGTGACAACATTCAAATGTTCACACAGTGTGTTTCCTTATTACCTCAGCATTGTGAGGACCACTAGATAAATTTCAAATACTTCAAGACTTACCAGCATCACTGCCAACAAAAACGCAGGTGTTGTCTGAATGTGCGATGACCGGCTTAGAAGCGGTTTTTGGTCGCCATGAGCTGAACATGTCGAGTGCTGTTTCATCTCCTGCAACTGCCATTTTAGCCAAATGACCAACATCATAGTGGCTTTGATGGTTGTGACAGAATGCTGCTTGTGTGCCTGAGCCCTTGATATGACTCTCAAATGACTTCACAGGCAGACCTGTTCCATCGAACTTCCACACCACAATTAACCCAGCCTGCGTCAGAATTGATTTGAGTATAACAAGAGAAAAAAATTCATAAAAATACGATGATTGGTGAAACAGTTTGAGAGGAATGTAAGATTAACAAAACAAGAGTAATTTACTGGCTTTGTTCTCAATCAAATCAGAAATTTTCCCTTTCCATTGTTTTAATAACTGATACCACACAATGCAACAGGCTTGTTCATAAAAATGTTTTTTACTTAAAATAGGTAACAAAAGACATGCTGGGGGAATCGGGCAAAGAAAGACGCACGACTAATTTTTACAATTTTTTTTCGATACAAGAAATTTCTCAGAGGAGATTTGAGGATGCAAAAAAAGAGCAGCTTGATGAGGTTGAAATTACAGTGCTGAGACTGAATTTTATTAATGGATGGAGATTTGAATGAAAAGGTGTCTTGAATTTCCTAAAATTCATTTTATGCACACTAGGTACTGAAATTGTGGTGTCACTAAGTAATTAGGTACCAATCGAAATTCATGTTTCAGGATTGGCAGAGGTAAAAAGTTAAACGTCAATAAGGTAGAACCTGACAAAATATAGTTCTGACTTTTTCTGTGTATGTGTCCTTTGAGTTACTTACAGCATCCACTGTGATCATTCGACTTCCGAAGTGTGAGAACTCCAACACCAGAATCGGACTGGAGTGGGGCGAGGGTAGCAAAATAAAATCATCGTCATTGTTCCAAACTTTTAATCGCCCACTGTCCCATCCTGAGACTAGCAACCGTTGGTTCGGATGCCATGCTAGAGACGATACTATGGAGTGCTTGTCTTGAGCATTATTAATTCCTTGAAAGACTTCTCCCTAGAGAAAATAACAATCAAAAACTGACAATTAATGATATTTTCTTGACTAGTATCTTGCTGTCTGGTGATTTATCTTCAGTAAAATCTTGACGATTTTAAATGCCTTCACAGTCTGCAAGGGTAGATATAGAAAATGCCCAAGTGTGTGGGAAGAAAAAATCCATAAGCACATGAGGAAATTTTAGGATAGAAACTTTTTTGCTGCAAAAACTACATACCTTTAAATATTTAGGTATCTTCTTTAAATGAATTGACTGATTTTCAAATCTGAAATAGTAAGTTTTCGAAAAGGTTGTGATAAACAGGGCCGGATTTACCTATGGTGCATCGGTGCAGCTGCACAGGGCGCCAGATTTTGAGGGGCGCCAAATTTTGGGGTTTTTTTTTCCAAACTCTGTAAAAAATTGAGAAGTGCGTCGAAAGTTCAGAAACTCAGATTTTTGATTGATTGTATAAGGGCAATGGAGACACACTATCTGACTATCTCGTAAGTTATTAACTAAACAACATTAACAATGTAAATATTGCATGTTATCACTCCATATGTGCCTGTGCATGCATATGAAATGCCTACCTATTTTCGTCCCACCAGAATTTTCTTCTGCAAAATTACATCAGAGAACCATTCATTTATTGCGTTCCATCTTATAAATGACCTGACCCTAGACTTTAAGGGTCAAACTTTCTCTTAGTTTCGTAGATAACAGTAACAAGAACAGGTACCTGGTTTTGGTTTCTGCCCCAGGATCATTCACTCACTTGAAAAATGCATATTTAGTTAGAGTTAGCATGTAGTAATCAAAGAAGACCGTCGGGTTGGGAAATGCGCGGGCGGGGGGAGGGGGGGGAGGACGTGCGAGGGGGGCGCCTCGAAAATTTCTGTCAGGGCGCCAAAAACGTAAATCCGGCCCTGGTGATAAAGATTATGTAAAATTCGTGGAAAAAATTATTGTCAAGAAAAATATCAAAGTTTCAACTACAGTGATACTTACGGAATCATTGCAAATTGTGACACTGCCACCAGTTTCCTCGGAGAAGGAACTAACTGCTATTAGACTGTGTTGCGGATGCCATCTAACATGTGAATGCACACTATTTGGATCGACAGCAATATTATAATCGAAGAATAAAGTCATCATTGAGCTGGATCGCGTCAAAGGAACCTGGGAAAATCAAAGCTTCATTACCAAAGGAGAGTGAAAGCATAATACATTTTCCACGAGATAATTTGCAGACAACCATTTCGCATTTGCTGAGCAAGATAATCTGGATGCAAAGGGTAATCAAAATTAGTATGCTATGACATTGTAATTAAGCTGCAGAGTACTTACATTTTTAAAAATGGTTGTAAAAAGATACTATAGAGTCTTTCATACCTTGAGTAAAGTACAATAATTTCTACTACTTATTAAGTAAACCAGGATAATGAAAGCGTAGAGTGAACAGCATTCAGAGACATGCCCCTTGAATAGTTTTTCCACTCTCCAAGCTTAGTTGGTTATGTTAAAAGATACCTGTTAAACAAAATCAATATCTCCATCGGTACTTTAATATAACGAGAGACAGTTCCATTGGATTATTATCTCGGACTGGTTCCCGCAGCTTGTTTATGGTGAGGTAGCTTAATGACAGGGCGATTGGTGCTAAATCTAATCAAACCTGAAACCTATCAAAAAATCTGAATACAAAAGGGTATCAAGATGCAATTTGCAGTGACGAATTAACTGCTTCTTTCATGTTTAGACCGTGTAAGCTGAATGACCGAAGGACACCTCACGCAGGATCATCAAGAGAAATTGAAAGAAAAAATTACTAGTCAAATGAACCCACCGACTTAAGTAATTGGCTGAAAATTGTTTAACAAACCTTTATTATCGAACTAAGGGCATTGAGGACGGAGATTCACTAAACTGAACAATTAACATCTTAGAAAAATTTGTCATGTTATCTTCAATGTCCATTCCGAAATGTTTGTAAACAATCTCCAATGGCAACCGTTGTGTGTTGCGTTTCGGCAATGTTTCGGGCTCATTTTTGATGAATGGTGGTTGCTTTAAAATGCTGTCTCGCTGTTGCAATTTGTAAACAAAAAAACAGTGATAATCGTAAAAGAATTGAGTATAAAATACCATTTATCCCAATATTTGGCAAGAAATAACGCATTCGTGTCGTGCTCGAGAGACCTCAACCCGACTGTTAACGCGTGGTGATTTAATCATTTCTCACAATATTTTTTTTTTTAATTTTTAACGTGTTTTTCAATCTTAATCTTCTCAGTTTCACTCCTCCAAATGCCGAATGGAAGTGTAAGTAACAGTGTTGTTTTTTACCACTCCCTCATCATGCTCTCTTATCACATGTCTCTGACCCACCCTGAATGACATTTTCTACTTCCTACCTCTAGTTTTCCAGTTATTCCTAGTTATGACGCCGATAAGGTTCCTTTGAAGCCGGCATCTACTTCAGTTCTCTCTCGTAGTCACCATCTCAACATCCAATTAGGGGTTGAGCTTAAGTTACGATTCCAAGCCCTGGAGCCAAGAAGCGTATTTTTGTTGAAAATCTGCCGAAGCAAAATGGGTGGATCATGAGCTTTCGTATTTTGCTTTGACGGGTCATACTTTCTCGTAACGAAATCAAAACTCACCAGGCACATAGAAGATTCTTGCAAGCGTGGGAGCCTAAAGTAAGCCCAACAAATAGTAGGATTGAGCAGGGTTAAGAAATGACCTGATGTAGATGATGGCATCCGTCCAGCATCAATTTCATAAGTCTAACCTCAAATGTTTACCAACCCGTAAACCCGATTGTGCTCGCTGCCATTCGACCGTGACATTTTTGCTCATCAACGAAGTTTATAGCTTCGAAGCTTCGAAATTACATGGATCCTTATGGCGGAAAGAAAGTTGAAACTGGCTTTTTGATACTTAAAAATTGGGATTTGGGAGCGAATTTTTCACAAAGCATGAATCAAGACTAATTAGTTTTACTTTAAACCATTAATGTATCATTTTTTTCAAAAAGTGCACTTATGCGCCTTGTCCTCCTATATGTGGTTTAGCACTTTAGCCATTGATATTTGCCTCTAAATTTTGTGTTCTTGGTCATTTTGTTCCTTCTGTGCATCATTTCGCACCACCGCCCCCGGCAACCACCATCAACCAGCGTAGTCTGAATCACTAACTAAACTCTCATCCACTCAACAGCAATTTTTGCACGAAAATCTCCGAGAAATAAAGAGAATGATCTGTCTTCAATTTATGCCACTATTAAATTATGACAGTTTTTGACCTTCCTAGCAATTATCTCACGTGTATAGCTTAAGTTCAGAATAAAATTGACCTTACTGATCCTAAGCCAATCAAAAGTAAAAGAGGCACGTGTAGAACGTGCCATTTCAAGCTCTCTGTTTCCTTCGCATTCAAGAGCGCGCTTTTAGCTATTTTCTTCGCATACGAGAATGCGTGACACAGTTTCCCTTGCTAAAACTAATGCCAGGGTGTCAGCAAGTCCGGAAATAGTGCTGATTTTTTAAGGGCGGTCCGGCAGTACTGAAAAAGTCCGGAAATTCCGCCAGAAGGTCCGGAATTGTTTTCATTTTTTTGTCATTTTTGTCGCATTTTAAGCAAGAAATTCGAATTTCGTCAATCGGAGGTACTGAATAAGTACCAAATTTTTCCGTTAAGAAGGTACTGAATCTCTCGACAATGTACTGAAAAAGTACTGCAAAAGTACTGATTTTTGGCCAGCCTATTTTAGTCGACACCCTGAATGCGCTCAGCTACATTTTTCCCCCTTTCAGGTGTCTTCACATTTGCTCCGCGTTCGGTTTTCGATTCGTCGATCGAGCACTTTCTGCACCCCTCGTGACAATCAACATACATATCGACGGCGTAAGTCCGCAATCACATATCTCGTTTGCGGTGTCTGAAAATATCCGTCTCTATGTTATTTTTTTAAAGAAGAACAAATTGACATCGTTCCTTGCAGAATTTTCTTCGCACAAAGAAGAAAAGTCACGGCAGTTCTAAAGAATTGCCGTTGAGTAGTTTTCCGTTTAAAAAATAAAGTATGACAGGAAGTCTGCGACGTCGCAAACCGAGTTATGTGATTGCCGACTTATACCGTCGATATTTTCCTTTCAATTATGGTAAGAAGCGGGCAGAGAGTTGAGGATAATGATGCGTATCTAGTTTTAAGGGGATTTTAGCGCAGCGCAAGCCAGGGAAAGGAACGCAGCGCAAGCCAGGGAAAGGAACGCAGCGCAAGCCAGGGAAAGGAACGCAGCGCAAGCCAGGGAAAGGAACGCAGCGCAAGCCAGGGAAAGGAACGCCGCGCCGCACTATGGTCCGAATAGCCGGTTTAAGCGGCAATAAATCGAAAAAGTGAAGTTTGGAAAAAGTTAGATTTTAAGCGGTAGATCGATAGTACATACTGTAGAGAAGACTCCTGTAAAATTTCACTTCGATTTAAGCACTAATAAAGATGTGACAAGCCTGGGAAGTGCGGCGCGCGGAGCACTTTATGAGTGCGATTCCAGTTACCGAGCGGCAGTGCTGTGTTTAAGGGCTTGTTTTCGTCGTTTCACCGTACCTGAAAGTGTTTGGGCACTTGATTCACAAAATATAAGATAAGTTCAAGATGTTTCATGCTGAAACTGTTCTTTTTCATCATATCTATTGTTCTAGATTAACCCTTAGACATAGTCACTTTTTTCAATAAATTCGCAAAAGTAGGACCCAAAAAATATCCTTTGCACCTCTGAGCACCTCGTAATTTTACTCGGAAGTTATTGTCATGACTCTAGACTACCTTTTAGTTTGAGTGGCAGATCAATCACACACAATCGCCTCAAGTTATCTCTCATGAAAAAGACGTTTTCGCGTTTCTTATCACTTACAACAATTACCTATCATATGCCATTGACGATGACTTTTATCATGTTCCATTGTCATATTCTAGCAAATCGAATGCATTAGAGCCTAAATCTGCCCAGGCAGAATAATACGAGTTGATGGGGTTGATCGGGACCAATTTGAAACTTGTGCTCAAGAACAGCAAAGAATCGCCTCGGGAGGCTACTTTGAGGCCCCGTAAAAGTTTTTTTTTGACGTTTTAAGTGTTTCAAACTTATAATCTATCAGTGTAGATATATGTTAGCATAAGTTTAGCTTGGCAGACGAAAACAAGTCTAAACGGTTGATCAGTGGGACTTGAAAGTAAGGCTCCCGAGCAATGAAATTGTCTTAGGAAGCCACTTTGAGGTCCCGTAAACGTTTTTTTTTACGTTTACCCATGTTTCAAACAAATAATCTATCAAAATGGATATATTTAAGCTTAAGTTTAGCTTGGCAGACGAAAACAAGTTCAAACGGCTGATCGGTGGGACTTGAAAGTAGGCCTCTGGAGCCATGAAACGTAGAAGTATTATCTTGAGCTGTCTTTTTCAAGTTCCCTTGATAGTAGTGTTTGACGAGGCTCTACTTTTAGCTTCTTATAGTCCATCCAATGTAAAATTAATTTTTAAACTTATATAAAAAAAAAAAAAAAAATCTACCGAGAATCGAACCCGGGATATCAAGAAGACAAGGGAGACGCGATGTCAACTGCTCCACCGCGTCAGCTTGGGCTGATTGCCTCAATTCAAGGTTTGTGAACAAAATATCACCACAGTTATATAAAGTATAAAAATGTTAAAAATGGATTTCTCCTGAAGAATATTAGCATTTTTGCACTCAGCGACCCTAAAAACCCCTGAAAACTCATGTTGCGAGGTTTAAACATACGTATCTGATTTAATGCCGCTTAAACCGGCTATTCGGACCATAGTGCGCCGTTGAGTAATCCTCGCAGTGTGATGCGCCTTCAATCCGACAAGCAGCAATATGCCTACACTCGTTACGCCTGCCGTGGATGAATTCAAATAGCGACTGCTACACGCGAAAAAAATCTCCGATTACAACGCTGCACGCCACCTCATATGTTTTATTCTCAATCGATGTTTTTGCATAAAGATACACAGATTTTCTGGAAATTTTCCGAAATGATCTGGAATGAAAGCACAGAAAAGTTCGATGCGATATTTTAGTTTGTTCCATTTTCTTTTTAGTACGCAAAAAAATGATAATTTAAACACGCGCATCGCGTTTCTGAATCGTTGCAATTAAGTTACATGTTTTCACTTAAATTGTGCTAAAAACGGGACAGAGAGTCGAGAATAACGACGCGTAGTCCTAATTTTGCGGTGAGTTTGGCGTCGCGCCAGCCAGGAAAAGGAACGCAGTCAGGTCATTTTTGCAGTGAAACGCGCCTGCGAGAAAATTTCGACGCGATACTTTAGGTCTTTCCATTTTCCTTTTTTACATAAAAAAATAATATCTAAACGAGTTCTCAAAATTGTTCCCAAATAAAATTGCAGAACATTTCGACGTGATATTTTTTTTCATTCCATTTTCTTTTGTTCTTTACACCGGAAAAAAGTTAACATCTTCAGAGTCTCTGAATCACTCTCAATGAGGTACATATTTTCCCTTTAACTATGGAAAAATCGAGGCAGATCGTCAATGAGAGTAATAATGACGCGTAGTCCTAATTTTGCGGTGATTTTAGCGTCGAGTAAACCAGGGAAAGGAACGCAGTCAAGTCGTGTTCGCACTGTGACGCGCCTTCAATCCGTCAAACGGCAATATGTCTACACCAGTGGTCGAATAGTTATCTCGTTGCGCCTGCCGTGAATTATTCTAATTGTAAGTATCATCGCCCTCACGCGCAGAAAAGCGTATTTATCTCCGATTGCAGCGTTGCACTCCTCTACTCGTGTTTATGTTTTAATAAATTTTTTTGAAAAGCTACACGTAGTTTTTCACGAAAGCTTTCGGGAATTTTTCGGAATGTGTTTAAAAAAAAAGGTCAGAGAAATTTATGGCGCATTATTTTCGTTCACTATATTGTTTATTTCTTTCTCCACCGAAAAAAATTAAAAATTGCACAAGTGTTTGAATCTTTGCATAAGGATCGCAGAGACTTTTTCGCCTTCCCATTTTTAAAGGCAGCCTCCTCACCGCAGTGCGGTGCAGTCCAGCGTGGGTCGACCCACCCGCGAGCGCTCGGACAGTTAGAATCATGAAAAGGAACTGCAATAAACCTGTCGCGACGCTCCGTCGACATCCCTATTCTTTTATCCCACCGTTTTCTGGCCGTCTCTCGCCTGTCGCGACGCTCCGTCGACATCCCTATTCTTTTATCCCGCCGTTTTCTGGCCGTCTCTCACCTGCCAACCCTTGGTCACGTTTCATTCCATAGAAAACATTTCAACATACGAAAAGGCACTCGGCCGTAGAGCTAAATGCATTCTTTTATTTCTTATGGGGGCATCGTGTGACTTCGAAGAATCTCCATTTTCACTAACATTTTTAAATGGTTTCTCCAAAGCCGAAACCTCTTTTGCCCTTTCTAAAGAGCAAAGGAAGCCCGTGGCCAAGGCTGCCGTGCTAAGGAAGAACGTCGTATGAACATTCGGGAGTTGCCAAATTTCCCCTGATGAAACCTGTATTTTTGACAACATTCATGCATATTTGGATCCCATTTTGCAAAAAGGAACCACGAGCAATGCTATGTTGCTAAGATGGTGCAACTTCTTTTGTCTGGGAAGAAAACCTGATTATCCATTGACAGTATCGATTTTACTTGCTGAACACTGTGAATCTAAGGCAAAACTTACCGTGTAAGTAAACTTCATCTTTTTTCATGATTTCAGTTATTTTACTGCAAAGGATGAATTTGCACAATCTTAGCATCATTGTAATGCTCGTGGTTCCTTTTTGCAAAATGCAATCCATTTGTCCTCGATATTTTCAGATATTTCAGATTAAACTGCGTAAAAAATCGTCTGAAATTTTTGGAAAGTACTATTCACAATTTTCCCAGTAAATTCGATTTTTATCGGATTCGATTCCTTCCTATTTTGCGGATTATTTCGTTCACAATTTCACCTAAAGTTCCTGAAAATTTCAAGGAAAATTACTCATTACAGGGTGTCTACCAGTCCGTAAAGTCCGGAAAGTCCGGAAAAAGTACGCATTTTTTAAGGTCGGTCCGTAAGTACCTTAAAAGCACGTAAATCTCGCGGAAGGTCCGTAATTTTTCACATTTTGCGCTACGCGTTCAGTTCTATCGCCTGATAGTTATGCAACCCTCTGTGCGTTGTCCGTCAGGTGTAGTAGTGCAATGTCAGTCCGTAAAAGCGCGGTTGTTTTAGAGGAGCGGAATAAGGCATTTCCCCAGATTTGACGGAAACAGCCGAAAGGGCCACGGGAATAGCCGGAAGTAAAGCGCGCGGCAGTGCCGAAATCGAAGAATTGCGATACATATCGAAAAGGTACTTAAAAAGTACTTAATTTTTCCCTTTCCCCAATGCGAGGTACTTAAATTTTTCCTTAAGTACCTAAAAAGTCCTGAAAAAGTACTTATTTTATTTTTGTGGACCCCAGTAGACACCCTGCTCATAACTTTCCTAGAAAACGAACATTTTATCAAAGGAAATTTGGCAACTCTCGAATGTTCATACGGCGTTCTTCCTTAGCACCGCAGTAATCTATGGGAAATGCCCGTTCCTTTGTTCGCGCTTTTGGATCTCGCGATCAGTTTCTCTGCTTGCCTCGTGCGCGGCGGTCCCTGCGTCCCTGTTTCTCCTGCTCAGTTCTCCCTTTGAGACGTTCTCTCCTCTTGTGCTCGCGTGTTGAGCCTTGAATTTTCGACTTGGATTCCCACGGATGTTTGACCCGACTCTTCTTTACCTTCATCCGTATATTCGTGCTGTGTACCGGACCGGCGGCGTTCACGTCTATCTCGGTTGGGTAGAAGTATTTTTGCTTAAAAAAAATAAAAAATAAAAATGGGGGGANGGGGGAGCTCCCAGATTTCCTCGAGCCGTTCTGTCATATTTTTACCATTCGGCTTCCGACCCCCAATGTATGCTCTGGCGGTATTCGACTTTGGCAACTACACCTACCATCAGAAAAAAGAAGAAGAAAAAAACTACGCGAGGCTCTTGCGTGTCGATCAAGCCACTCTTCTGATTGATGGCGTCTCTTACTTTCTAGGGTACGGGTACGATGACGTCTCTTACTTTCTAGGGTACGGTCCCTGTCCTCGTGGGCACAAGTCGCTCATGGCAGTACTGCGCTCCCCTTCTACCGTCGAGCATCGAGGTTGGTTTCATTTATTTCTCCTTACCTACCGTTTTCTCATTTTTTATTTTCATTTTGAGAAAGAAACATTTTTTTTTTTATTTTGAGTCGGAAACATTCTGTTTATTATGAGACAGAAACATTTTCTTTATTTCGAGAAGAAGCATTTTTTTTTCTTTTTTTCTTCCTTTTTTTGAGAGAGAATAAGGAGCATGATATTTGTTTTGAGAAAGAAACATTTTGTTTATTTTGAGAAAGGAACATTTTTACCTCATTTTTTTTTTTATTTTGAGAAAGAAACATTTCGTTCATCGCTCTGTTTCTCTTCGGTGCGTTTGAAGGATGAGGTGTGAGGAATTCTTGTTGGATACCCTTTCAATGCTAAACCTTCGCCTCTTGAAGTTTAGTAGAATTACGTTAGCCCATCTTCGGATAGGTAATGAAGACATTTTTGTGTGCAGGGGTTTTAGTTTTCCAGTTCTTTGTGTAAATTTCGGAAAACTAGGAAATGTCGGTTTATTCGTGTCGACCGAAATGCGATTTTATCGCGAACTGCCCAACTCGTTTCCATTTGAGGGCTTTGAATAATTAGTGGGTTTTACCCAGCTATATTGGTGACCAAATTTTGGAAAATTATCGATTTTTTCGTGTCTGACGCAGTGTAATACTATGGTAAGCTACGATGTATTGATAATTTGTATATTTCAAGCAGATATTCAAATATCTGCGCCTCGATCGTTGCTTTTAATGACAACATTTCCGGAAATTGACAGGTTTTGTTGGGTTAGTAGTGTCAGGCGCAGTCCGACGATGCAGCTTAAGTTGAAAAGCCCAAGTCTATGTTCTCTTTGTGCAAAAATTTAAAACCTAATCGTCGCACTGTGGATCGAGTAAATTAGAGAGGTCTGACACGAAATTTCTTACTAAAACTGCAAATTTTGATTTTTAATTCGTCCCAATTTAAATTGTAAGAGGTACTTCTAGAAGAAAATTGCACGAGGAAACCTACGGAACCAAAGTTCTGTATACACGGAGTTATGAGCTTTTATAGTTTCCAAATTTTGTCAGACCTCTCCCATTGACTCGATCTACTGTGCGACGGTGAAACTGCCAAACCTCTTATCGCCTCGTTTTGATGTTTTAAAGTTTTTGCTCCTATTTTTATCATTTTTTAAAGGCGAAAAAACCAACATCATTCTTTGAAATTTCCACAGAATTTGTCTCGCTCATAGAAGAAAAATCACGGCAGTTTTTTCAGTATCGCCGTTGAGTAGTTTACCGTTTACAAAATAATGTATAACAGGAAGTCCGCAACGTCGCAAACCTAGATACGTGGTTTGGGACTTTCACAGTCGTTATGTTGTAAACTCAATGTGAAACTGAGTTGGAAACGTCAGGGGGATAATTTTTTATTTTTTCTGTTTCAGAACCAACTCCAGTGCAGCATTACTCTGTAATTATGAGGTATGTAACTTCCTTGACCCTCCGAGCATTGTTTTGACTATAGTGTCTGTTAAGTAATCAAAAGGTGGGAAGGAGCAAAAAACTACGCAAATTTCACTGTTATAATTGCAGTTTTACATTAGTGCAAGCTGGCCCTCTCAATTTTCACAGCCTGCCCATTATTTCATCGCGTCATTGGGAAGTTCCTTCACAACTATGGCTTCAGAAAAATTGCATCTTTGCTTGCTAGGTGGGAACGTACTTTCCAGTATGGTTTCCATTTACTTAGACCCATTATTTTAGCCTCAAATCATATGGATACGGCAATAAAGTAATGTCTCACCACTTTGAAAGAACTTGTAGTGTTTCGCAACCAACTTTATTTGGTCTTTTAACCAAAATATTCCTGCTTTCTCCTTTCTCTTTACAATCGGACAAATTTCTTTGCTTTCTTCTTTTAATATTTGAATAATTTCATTTCATGTTTCCAGGTGCTGACGTACTTGAATGAATTGAAATCAAAAGCGCAGACTGCTCAAGAAAAGAACAGCCATCTAGCAACAATTCTGTACGAAGTAAGCCCCCAGCATTAATTTATTAATCAGTTTTCCAAAATACATTAATATAACATCCGAACGAAATCGGCTTATCTCTCGGCCGTGCTCACGATGTTACAATAACGCCGGGGAAAATCCAGTATTTGCCGCGATTTTTCGATGATAATTGCGTAGTTTCTAGATTTACTTATACAAAATCGCTGGAAACATAACACGTTTCGCAAACTATATCGAGATAAATAGCGCGTAATCTTCGTGATGTAACGAATCCGCTAAGAATATCGCGTACTTCTCGCGATATTGAGATGAAATTTGCACAATTTCTCACTTATTTACAAGCGGAAATGAAGCGAGCAACTATTTGAATTTCGAACTCCGGAGTAGGTATGTGGTATCGTGCGTAATTGAAGGAAAATCGTAGCTCTTTGCGTATAGCCAAATTACCGGAGGTTACGAGTATTGTACTCGCGTGGTTAAAAAAATCGCGTCTTTTCTGAGATACTGAGGTGATAATTGAATCAGCGATTTCAAAAACACACCAACTCGGGAAAAAAAATTCTTTAGGAAACACCGAAAACTGCGCAGCGGGCGAAGAAGTCAGTTTAAGAAAAACATTTTTGGTGCCAAAGGACAAGTACTCAGAGACTTTGTAAAGCATCAAGTTGAAATCGAAACACCATGTTTGATGACAGAGAATTAAGCGTTTAAAAATTTCCGAGTTGGTGTGTTTTCGTTCTCACCGATTTTCAGATACTGATTTTTCATAGTCTGCCCTGTAGAATTTATATTTTTCGGCCTGGTTAACGCTTGAATATTTATATAACTTGTTGGTATACGGAACTGAAAAAAGAAAACCGCAAAATCGGATGGTCACCCGTTTCCCTTGAAATGGCCAAAAATTGGTTTTTCCAATGAAATACTTCGATTTTTCCCATTTCCCGTCGCTGTTTCAAGCAATTTCGAAATTTCCTTTTGCGCGCAGATGCTTCTATCCGTAAGTGTAACTAAACCGTAACAAAGTGAAAATCGAAAAAAAACCCGAGTTGCTGTGTTTTCGAAGTCACTGATTCAATTGTGAGATTTTATATGTTCATAATCAACCGCTGGGAAATCAGCGTACATGCCGCGATACTGTTTGAATAGCGCGCAATTTTTATTGCTTTTACAAAACCGCCTGGAAAATCGGGTATTTCCCGCGATTCTTCAATATTTTTTACAAAATCACTACAAATCACTGCGCATTTTGCACGATACCGAGATGCAAAGTGCGTAGTATTTTACGATGAAGCGAGTCCGCTTGAAATATCGCGTACTTCTCGCGATATCGAGATGAAATCCGCACAATTTCTCACGTATTAACAAACGAAAATGAAGTGAGCAACTGTTCGAACTCCGGAGTAGGTATGTGGTATCATGCGAAATTGAAGGAAAATCATAGGTTTTTGCGAATCTCTAATTACTGGTAATTACGAGTACGATTATTGATTTTACACAACCGCCGGGAAAATTTGGAGTTCGCCGCGATTGGTGATTATTGCGTTATTTCCACTTTTGTTTCTCATAAAATCGCTGGAAAAATAGCTCATTTTGCGCAATACTGAGAGAAAAAGCTCGTAATTGCTTACGTTTTATTTAAAGTTGGCAGGATGGAAGCAAGTCTTTCAGGAATGCATAGGATGGCCACTTTAGCCTCTCTGCTGATTTTATATGTTGATAGCAGAATCCGATGAACCATTAGAGTGATTCTCGTGAGTCTTTGAAACAGTATGAAACGTGAGGCTTACCTGAAAGAAAAGCCCTTGCTGGTTCTTAGGAAGTTCTGAAGCATAGAGTGACGCGAATGGACCACTAGACAAAGTACGAATTTCAGCATTCTGATACACGTCTCTTTACCAAAATTTCACGTAAAACGCGATGCGCACAACAAATATTACCGAAATCAACTCCTTCCGAAGATATTAATGATTCTTGGTGCGTGAATTCAAACCACCCGCTCATGAAAACTCAATGCTCCACGTGATTCACATCGCTCGTAAACGTTATCATGAACGTCTCTGCGATGAAAAAATCTGGCAACCTCAATCTTGACACTTTGGCTCAGCTATAGCAAATTACTTAAAGTTTGAAAAACACACGGTGGGAAATAAACATTGCTCGATTGAGAAGATAGCTGAAACCGTTGTAGTGCGCTATTTGACTTACGTAGAGCTTTGAGTTTCTTGTGAGAGGGCAGTTCAAATTCCTCGTAACCAATGTGAAATAAAAATGTTGATAGCTTCGTTAGGAGTTGGTTTCAGTAATTTTCGTTGCGCGAATCGTGTTCTACGTGAAATTCTGGTTAAGATACACGTATCAGAATGCTTGAATTCGTGCCTTGTTTAGTGGTCCATTAAGAGAGACAGGGAGGAGCGTATTTTTAGTCAGCTTCATCCGATAAAAAATTAGTATTAAGGCGAGTTGAATGAAAGCCTCCTATAGAACGGGTTGATTGTTAAAACTGATAGACAAAGCTATAGACGAAGAAGTCAAAAGGGATATGGAAGGATCCTATCGGCGGAAGTGGCTGGTAGCAATGGACAAAGAAGGTAGGGAATAAACTAACTAATGACAACCCACGAGAGACCCTATAGTTAGTACATCATCTTCTCCTTTAGTCTATAGGAACCAACCATTTCAACCAATAGGATCGCTTTGTACTCCCTATGTCTTCTTTGTCTATTGTTCTGTCTATCAATTTCAACAATCAATTTGTCGGCCTCTTGTGGTGTAGTGGTTGTAGCGCTGGCCTTACAATCAGGAGGTCCTGGGTTTGATTCCCGGCTAGGCAACCCGAGTTTGATGGTCTCAAACAACAGTCGCCTTGGGCTGGTACATGGTAGGGACGGAGGGGGGAGGGGCTCTAACTGGAAGCGCAAGGATTACTTACCACTCGTGTGGTATTTGAATTAGTTTTAAAAAAAAAGAAGAAGAAGAATATCAGCTTGCAGGAGCAATATTACAACCTCGAAGATAGCCAGATACCGTTAATTTACGGAACCCTCAGATTAAACATGGACATTTTTATCGTTGTTAATAATCCCTTATTTTTTTTCAGACCTCTCACTATTTAACTGATTCCCTCAACAATGCTCCACGGATAGCCAACATTCCTGAGTTCTTAACGGACCTACTCTCATTCCCAGTAGCCCTGACGAAAGAGGAAAAACTCTTGTTGGTCAACTCCCCTCCATCATCTGCTCTCCAGCTCTCTTTGGTTAGTATGCATCTGTATTCTTGGGTAAAAAAAAAAATCATTGGCGAGGCGAGAATTATCGATTGTCGATTTTTCTTCATTTGAAGCCATGGTAAAGAATCGATTATTAAGGTGTTTGCTGTGAACACCGTGCTTATCGATCTTTTTCCATAGGTCTAAATGGTAGATCAATCGACATATCACAAAGCATGCCATGCCACTAAAAAATCATACAACTGACTCGTTAGTACTTTGACGTATTCACATGTGACCAGATCTGTGAAAAGGGACCTAATCTTCTGGAAGAGTAAATTTTCCCTAACTTTTTGACAAGACTTAAAACACGTTCTCCCTCAACGCAAGAATTTTTGTCTTGGAACTTAAGGACTCATATCTCCTTCAATATATGAGCTTTCAGAGTTCAACTTGCGCCAAAATATCCAGATTTTATCCTTCCATTCATCTGAAAAAACCTCAGGAAAATTTTCTCCCGTACAAGAAGATTCCTTTTCACAAATTTGGTCATGTAAGCTCTATTAAGCTGTCTGTAAAAAGGACAAATTGAAGTTCGTAGGCAGGGGCAAAATTTGATGCTGAAGCACTGCTGTAGATGAATCAGTTGATTTTTAAAAATGGAACGTTTCCTCTTTCTTGCTGAACCCTAGAGTCCAAGTTTTTTCATGCGCTTCAAGGCTTGTCAGAAAATGGATTTGTCAGGTTTTAACATTGGTCCATCTCTTTAACAAGTTATCGCAAGCTCTGTCAAAATATTTAATATCCTCAAAGGTATGAAGTCTGATGTGTTTTGATTGGTCCTATCAATTTTGCAAAACTTTAACCTGAGTTAAAAGCAGTGCAGAACCAAACCACTGTATGATGTCCTTGACCATTTTTATCCATCAAATACTAGTATGTATACTGTAAGTTTTAGAATGTCCCGAAAGGAACAAGATTTCTATCAAAGGTAATTTGGCTGTTTGTTCAACAGCTGAGGCTATAAACTACACTGCGGATGCAATGAGCTCCTTTAAAAAAAGGCTATCCACTAATCAAGGTTTTATTTCCTTCTCATGAGATGCAGAGAATAACAGCTTGTCAGTCTCGCGTCTGCATTTCTTATCTATTTCAAACCTTTCATGGCGAAGTCACAAAGTCATCCATCTATTGAAAACATGTATTGACATTTAAACATCCATGTCATATCACATTGTATTTTCCTGCTTCAGTATGGAGTTTTTCACCCCTGTCGCTTAATATCATGTTGAGGGGTTCCTTTCTTAATCTTTTCAAGCTTCTTGTTTTCATTTTAGCTCATCAAAGACTGTGATGACCGACTATCTGAGAACCAAATTGAGTCTCTGCTTGAAATCATTAAGAAAAACGTTACGGAAGAACAGTTGAATATTGTAAATCAGCAGACAAGTCGCAAGAAGCAGCAGCAACAGTAGCAGGAAAAGGCGGTTTTGTTCTTGGAGCAATTAGCATATCTTTCCTCTCGACTGAACTCTACAGGTGAGTATTTTTTTAAATCATTTTAATCAAATATCCATGGCTCAAGTTGAAAACGCACACCACCAATCCCAATGTTGCAAATTTCTACTCTTCTTTTTTAAAAAGAAACTGAGAAAGAGTTTTTCTTGTAATTTTCTGCGTAAATTCTCCTCTCACATCCCGAAATATTTACAAGTAATTGTAAGTAGATATTTCGATTAGTCCTCTTTAAATATTTTAACATTTGATCCGACAACACGTTCGGTAGGAAGAAGGTAAAATCGGTTTGAGATGTGCACCGCGTCAATTGAAAGATAATTTATATCTAGCAATGAAAATGTTCTCTATTTTGTTTCAGGCTCCAAAATGTCGGATAATATTCTAAAAGAGACATCTGAAATCTTCTTTAACATCTGGCATGACCCGAATTTTTGGACGGGCCTTCTTTTTGGAATGTTTACAGTTACCACATTTAACATGACATTTAGAATGTACAGAAGTCTATTGGTAAATTTTTTTAAAGTTTTGCTGTTTTGACATTTTTTTGTTCTTCTGAGCTCTGAGCTCTAACATGATTTTACCCATTGTAACACTCGGTGGCTTGTCATGTATGTTTTGTTTTTTTTTTTTTTTTACATTAATGAATGGGGTGCAAGAAAAGTTATAAAATCTGCTAAATCATGGAAATATTTATGGCTGCGTAGCATCCTATGTATTTAAACATTCACCAAAGCATGGCTCATGCCATTTCTCATATTGATGACGGAAGTGCTAAACAACATACCTTCATTGCAGTGTTTCAAAATTTCCACTTCTACTTTATTTTTTTAAAGAGAAACAATTCAACTTTGGATCTTGAACTTGAAACAGAATATTTTCCCAACACAGAGGAAGAATGTTGGAAGTTTTTGTTGACTACTTTCCTCTAGAACAAATAAAATATGCCACATGCAGCACCGCAAATGGAGTTACGTGACTCTGCACGTTGGCCATGGAAATTGTACATTATATACAGCAAAAATGAAAAGCCCTTTTTTCAGTCTAAACAATTTACAAGGTCCTTTTTTTGACATCTTCCAGTCTCTTTTATGGTTGTAAAATATGCATATTATGGAAGCCATAATTGTATCATTTTAAAATATTCAATTCAATATTAGCTTGGTATTTTAAAGGAATGGTTATTTTTCCCAAGTCGTAAAGATAGGTCCTTACAGTTATTTGCATTGGTTTTATGGAAGATTCTTTGTTTTGCAGGAAATTCAAAATTCGAGTCCTGCTGAAAAACCCTCCGCCTCATCTAAAAAAATCCCTGATGTAAGTATTTCTCTTTCATCCTGTACTGCTCAAACCCTCAACGATAAATATAACTCTCCTGTAAAAACTTTGTATTGTGTTGCACATAGTCAGAAGCTCCCTTTAATTTGCTTTTACAAATGATTCTGACTGGTTAATCTTTTTGTAAATTCATTCCGAAAAGTATTTCTCAATGCACCCGCAGATAAGCTGTAACCAAGATTCTGATAAAACTCATAGAGGAAAAAACTGAGCTTATGCAATTTTTGAAAGGGGAATTAGGTTAAAATTTCAGAGCTTCGAGCAAAAACTTTTGAAAATGACTGTTAATATTTATGAAAATTGATGACACAAATACGCTGCCGTTTCTTCATTAATTTTCAGACTCCATATTGTAGTCAGTGTAGTCTGCATAACTTCACTCCTCTGCGTTTATATGGATGACTTAAGTGCAAAACCACCTATCTCCATTGCAGTGTTTTAAAACTTCCATTCCTAATCTATTCTTTCAGAGAGAAATAAAACAACTGTATTGTGTGAACTTTCTTCAGAATATTTAGCTGAAAGATAAGAAAAATAATGGAAATATTCGAAAAATTATGTTGACTAGTTTTCCAAAAAAAAAACAGAGTTTAATGAGAAGTCTGCAACGTCGCAAACGAAGGTACGTGGTTTCGTACTTTAGCATGTATATATTTTTCTAAAGAACCAGGTGGACAAATGGTGCTGAGTCCACACCATTTCGTGGGGAAATCAAAGCCAAGAAGTTCCAAAAATTAAAATTAGAGTCAAAATTAAATTTTTTGAACTCTAATGCGTACCAGTACAAAACTGAGGGGAGGAGAGCGTTCAGCTCAGGCAGTTTGCATTGGAATATTAAATTGGAGTCACAGCGAGAGATCTATACCGGTTTGGATCTTTTTAGACCTCATCAGCAGATCACTCTTGTCAGTGAACCCAACTTAACATGCTGCAAAATTCAAGACAGCATTAAAACGACATCATGGATATGACCTGAGGCATGACACAAAAATTTGATCCTCGCGCCATCTACCATCCCGCGAAATAGTGTGGACCCAGCACCATTTCTCCACCTTGTTACATACAGAATTCAGGCCACCTCTTAGTGTTTTTTTTTTCTCTCATTTATTTTTGTAAATTGATGTCGATCTTTTGGGCACCTAGAGCTTGACTTTTCTAACCAAAAAATTTCCGAGTTCAATTTAAAAGTGAGAAACTAGCTGTCTTTTAGTTGGTAAAAATTCAATCTTCTTGCTTGCTGAAGAAACAAAGACTTCTTAAATCAATTATTAGGAACTTGGAAAATTCCAGTTTCCTTTCTTTCTTTGAAGTAATTAGTTAATTCTTCTTTGCAACCTGATCAGCTCTGTGTGAGTAGAAAGAAAGCCATTGTGGTCTCCATTTTTCAACATAGAACTACTTTTTCTGCCCCATTTTAGAAACAGTTTATGTGCCATCAGTTTTATGCAATTAAGTGCCTCTATGGATGAGTTGGAAATAGTTCTTTATCGCAAAATGCAATCAAATTCTAGTTCTTTATTCATGATCATTCATTTTTCAAAAACTGACTTGACCTATGTTAGTTGGATTAAATTTTGCAGTAAGGAACTACTATTTGAAGCTCATTGTAGAAACAGCATACGTTCTATTTGACTTCCTGTGCAGATAAGTGCTTTTATGAACGAGCCAGAAATTGTAGTCCCTTGTGCCATGGTACATAATATAGTCCAGTTTTTATTTTTTGCAAGTTGGGAATTCGAATTGACTGATTTTATCTTAAACAACAAATGCTAATTTCTCATTCATGAATTGATTTTGGAACAGGTTAAACATGAATGTGAATGAGCTTGAATGAGGGAACATGTCATATGATGCTTCAATTTTAACACTATCAAGTTGTGCCTGTTTTTTTCATCAACGTCTAGTCAACTGTTAAGGGAAACTCACCCGTTTTCATTGCAACATGCTTTACCAATAAAGTTTAAACTATCTTTTGCAGGGTGTAGAGCCGGTTGCAGATGGGAGCTCTAAGATGGCTTTGGTGGTTCGGAAAGACTTGAAAATGGGTAAAGGAAAAGTTGCCGCTCAGGTGAGAATATTTTTATTTAATTAAATTTTCTCTTTATACAATTTTAGCAGTATACAGAAACACTTGCAAGATCTGTTCAGAATTTTTTTCCTTTTCTCGTTTTTGGCAGAATGGAACTCTGCATGTTTCCTAGATTTGTGACTCAAGTTCTTAACTTTGAGTAAAATTTTGCGAGCACTTATTTTCCCTGAAAAGAACTTCTAAGCTCACTGAAAGCTCTCAAAGTTGAGGCTGTAATGGAGGTTAACCCCATGCTTAGCTGAGGCTGATAATCGATCTCTCTATCCAGTCTAATTCTCCATGCTTAGATAGGAGATACAGATAGCAGGGTTGCCTTTTTGTTCAGATACTCGGAGGCTAGAACCATGGCAAACCTGTGGAGGCACTTGCTCCCCATCTGTGCATAGAGAAATTGACTGGATTGAGAGGTGGACTCTTGGCGTAGCATGGGGAATCCTCTCCTTTATGGCTGCAATTTTGAGAGATTTTTTGAGCTTGGACCACTATACAAGGCATGAATTAAAGCACCTTGCAGCAGCTCTTCAAATGTTACGCAGAAAATGAGTCATAATGGAGAGTCTGGAAATTAACTTTTAAACGAAGAATAAGTGTTTTTGAATAAAATTGGCCTTATGGCAAAAACACAAATGATGTCATCGTCTCTTGGTTTTCAATGGACAGAATTTCCATTGGAACTGAGACTGATTAAAAAATATTTTACCTCACTTTTAAGTCAATTTTTTATGCTGCATTGCATTACGTCATATTACATTAACATATGTAACTCAATTCTCTTACAAAGTCCAACAGCCTAGCCCATACTCTAATTTGTGGTGCAAGTTCGATGCTACCAAACTTTGAAAGTCTGATCTCTAACTCATACTCAACTAATTCCAATCTGCACAAAAACAAAAAAGAATTTTCCACACATTCTAATAAATTTTGTCCTGTTTGCTTCTATAGTGCTCTCACGCCGCTGTAGGAGCTTTCAAAGAAATTTTGAAGGATCCAGACGCTTTAAACCTGTGGGAGGCTCGAGGGCAGGCGAAAATTGTCGTTGAAACCAACTCAGAGGAGTCACTACTGGAATTAGCTCAGCAGTGCAAGGAACGCAAGATTATTCACTGTTTAATTCAAGATGCTGGCCGTACACAGGTAGCACCCGGTTCCAAAACTGTTCTGGCTGTTGGTCCTGGACCCAGTGAAGTAATCGATAGCATCACGGGGCATTTGAAGCTGTACTAGGAGCCCTCTCTGATGAAAAAAGAAGCTGAAACCAAGCAAAGTAGGTCGTTTTCTGGATCACATTCTCTGTCTACATGTCATTGATAACTTCATAAAATTCCTTCTGTTCAAGATTTTGTTTTATATACTCATCCTCTTTGTGAAACTATATCAGGGTTGCCATAATGGGAGAAACCTAAAGAATCAGGGTCATATTACAGCAAAGCTGAAGTCAGGAAATATTTTAGAATGATAACCTCGGCAAATTGCATACCCTGCTTTTGTAAGGGGACGGAGGGAGAACGATAATGAGGTACCGAATTCTAACTCAGTAGTTGAAGACGGCGAAAATTATGTTACAGATTTTAGCTGTAGCATGCATGTACCCAGCAGCATCGTTGGTACCGGATTAACAATCCGTCTTCAATGTGACAGAGGGACGGACAAATCCAGGGCTACTGTTCACCACAATTACACCATGTTGCCTGACTTTCCTCCCTTCTTCTGATTTTCTAAGTGGGATTTTTAGTTCCGCATCCTCCGAAATGCTAAGGTCTGCGGTATGCTACCTTTTTTCTTTAATTTTGCGTTGGGAATATGTAATGACTCGGAAGCGCTACAACAAAAACGACTATCTCACTATCACCAGCTAAACGAGCCTCAGAGGGGGATCTAGCCTCCGCGGCTTGTCCGAAGAAAACAGGGAAAGACTGATGAAAGGAAAAACACGAGATCCCACACGAGCCTCCCATCGGTTATTCTTCGTCTGAATTACCATGATTGAAGCAGATATTGATGTGTATGAAATCCCTAAGCGGGGAGCCGCTTCAAGCCACTGGCAAAGCTTAGTATTTGACTCATCCTTAAAAACACTTATTAATAGTGAGTGCAGAGATGGAAAATTTCATGAAATATTGTGTAGGTTGTGAAGTTTCATGAACCCTCCTAAATTTTGCGGAAACTTATACCCTAATACGTCACGTCTCGTCACCTTCCGGCCAAGTATCACAAGCGCTATGTGACGTTTCAAAATTTCCGCCACCATTTAATTTTTTTACAGGAAGATTTTTCAACGAAGCTGTCCGAAAATTTCACTGAATTTTCTTCGTGCTGCCGCTTAAATCCATTCAAATTTTCAAACAGATTGAACCAACAATTTCTCTGAGAAAAAATGAAATGGCGTTGGACATTTTGAAACGTCGCATGGCGTTTACTTCGGCCGGAAGGTGACGCTCTTTTTAAGCCCAGAAATGAAGAGGAGCTCGGCAGCTTAATCCTGCAGCCTGATTGTTGAAATTTTTTGTTTGTCGGGACGACATAGGTAGATTAAAAGACGGAGCGAGATTGGTCGGCTATGTATTATCGCTGCTTCGTCGACCTATGTCGGGTTGAACTCACGACAAGCTAAAGGCACCTCTTAAGTTCCCGTCAGTATGTCGTCCATTCCACCTGAAAAAGGCACGACAAAGCAGTGATAAGGCATAGCCGACCAATCACGCTCCATCTTTTAACCTATGTCGTCCCGACAAACTAAAAATATCAACAATCAGGCTGCTGCTGAGACACCTAGTTCACCACCACAAAACGTTTCGCGGGAAACTCAAAACATATCATACACAGGTTCCATGATTCAAGTGTTTTATTAAGATGGACTCGAATCTCAACGATGACATGGGAATCGCACCGCCTAGTGGCACGGGATTTCGTTCGGCCCTGAGCACGGGCAGATCTCCTCGACGATGACGGCCGGCTCGGCGGCGTGCTCCTGGACCTTGGGCTCGGCGTACGTGTCCACGACGACCGGGGTCTGCGTGTAGACGTTGAGGGCGGCGCTCTGCTTGTGCTTGACGACGTACGGGGTCCCGAAGTAGTTGATCTCGTACGGCGCCGACTGGTGGTCGATCACGTTCGGGGTCAGCGGCAGACCCACGGTGATGGGCGCCGGCGCCACCTGCTCGATGATGATAGGCGCGAAGTTCCTGCCTCCGGCCATTCCACCTGCACCTCCGGCTCCGCCCATCCCTCCGGCTCCGCCCATCCCTCCGGCTCCGCCCATTCCACCGGCTCCGCCCATTCCACCTGAGCCTCCGGCTCCAGAGCCCCAAGATCCAGCGCCCCAACTACCCGCGGCGCAGGAAGGGTAGGGGTTGCCAGCGACGAGGCCGAAAGACAGGCATGCGACCACAGCGAAGAAAGCCATTCTAGATGAAGCTCTTTGGTGGATGGAGGAAGGGAGAATGATGAGAGCCTGACGCCCGGACGGATTTTATACGGGGAGCGCCAATGCGCGAACGTGGTTATCGGAGGATTTGGAAATCGATCGGCTACGCCCACACTGCGAGCCGGCCGCCGCCAGTCCGCTATCGGAGCGCTCTCGCGTTTCGCGGGTGTATCGCGTAGCCACTCCAGTATCACTAACCGAACACTGTTATTAGGAGTTTGTAGTGGAGTCTTCGACTGACAATCCGCGGTTCAACCAGCGGGCCGATTATTTAAACTTATAGACAAAGCTATAGACAAACACGACAAAAGGGATTTGGAGGGATCCTATTGGTGGGAGCAGGTGGTGGCAATGGACATAGGAGGTAGGTAATAGACTAACCAACGGCAACCCACTACAGACCCGACATTTAGCCCATCATTTTCTTCCTTAGTCTATAACAACCAACCATGTCAACCAAAAGGATCGCTCCATACTTCCTATGTCTTCTTTGTCGATCGCTTCGTCCATCAGTTTCAATAATCGGTCCGCAGCTGCTCATTTTAACTTTATGCTCGATTAATTGCAAGTGTCCGTCACTTTCTTCTTTTACCTTCCCGTTAGGCGCGTCCCCCCCCCCCCCCCCCNCAGCGGTCTCTGACAAAGGCCCGTGCGATAATTCTTCACTACTTGGGCTTGACTCATTTATGGCCCAAACCTTTTGATTTTGTTTTGCTTTTCCCAATTCACCTGTTCTTCCAGGATGACGGATATGAATGAACGGATCCTACGAACGGATAATTATGGAAGGGAGATAGGAACCCATTAAAGCAATTAGTAATTTTCGACTACAAGGCAATTTTTCTATTTAAGATTTAACGTGAGTATTGACTTTACGAAATTGAAGATTACGATTAAGATAATCATCAACACACATTTAATTACAAAGCAATTTGGAACGGATACTTATTGAAAGTATTTAATCCTCCTTTTCGTCTATTGAAAAGTAGCCGTCGTCTAATCCGTATACTAGACTCCTTAAAAATGAGTGTATTTTCAGGCTTTCGATTTCCGTTCTTTCTGGCTCCTCACCTGGGAAGGGATCCTCATACCAATCGAAAATCTTGTTAGCAATTTCAATATCCCACTCCGCTTCGTATTTTCCGTAAACGATGTTTTCGAAAGCCTCTATTAATTGCCTTGGTTGGAGGGTATTCTTTCTCAAAAATAACGTTTCTACTCGGACCATTAATTTCGATTCATTTTCCATATTCGGTTCCTTGTCGTTTATTTACTGGATTGTTAGTTAGTCAAGTAGTTGGCGAAGGCTGAGAGTCATCCTGCTGATAGTCCTGTGAGATGGCGTAGCTCAGGGGGGGTAGAGCGTCGCAAGTGCAAGTGCAGACGCAAGGCGGCGCAAGAGCAAGTGCAGACGCAGGGCGTCGCAAGTGCAGAGCTGACACTCGTCGCAACGGCAGTGCAGACACAAACGGGATAGACGGGAAGAAGCGAAGGCCAAAGAAGAACCTAAAATCACGCTGTGATATAATGTCTATTGCTACAGCTACACAGGGCACACAGTTCATATATGGTTTGACTCTGGGTTGATGGGATGAGGAGCGGACAGGTGCCGCTCGATCGCCAGTCTCTCCAAGAATAATCCCAGGGCCCAGCTCCGAGGAGCTTTCTAGGTCTCCGGCTCTGGCTATAGTCCAGGCAAGTTAGAAGTTTGCCCTACAATCAATGGAGATTTTGTACTGACACTTGTTCCTTTTGTATTTTGGGTCGCTGAATCCGAATCTGGATTTTGCGAACAAAAATTTTGCCCGGAACGTTGCCAAATGTACGTAAAACCGAAAAAAAACCGACTTTGACTCCGTTTTTTGGAAATATCTCGGGTTTTTTTCAATTTTTTCATGAAACGAGTTATTTTATAAAATATAGCTGATAAAATTCCCTACATATTGAAAAAAAAAAGTTACTTTCATGAATTTTTGACCCTTTTATAGCGTTGCAAAATTTCGGTAAAAATTCAGGAATTTCGTTTTTTTTTTTCGGTTTTTCGTAAAAAAATGCTTAAAACGTCATTTTAGAGGCCAACAATATCAAACGAAAGTAGACACAAAATGCTATAAAATAGGCTCTACTCCTTTTCCCTAGCGCGAAGTGCAACGTTGCCAAGCGGCGTCCGAAAATGCTATGTCTGACGCGTCAAATCGGCGGTGCGGCAACGTCGCATTTCGCGCCACCCCTCCCCCCCCCCCCCCCCCNATTCATCGAGATTAGTCTCTTTTCTCGATTTAAGGCCTATTTCATCAATTATTTATCATTATTCATTTTATATTGATTATATTGAATTTTCCGGTGTTGTCAAATGTCACAGATTTAGGAATCACTTTACCGCATTTGGGCCATTAGAAACCATATTAAAGGCACGGAAACGCTGTCACTAATATCTATAAAATTTGACATAATTTAATGAAATAAACTTAATAGTGTATTGTTAGGTTAGGTGGTGCTTATGATTCATATCCATGCGTAATCTCAATTAAAAAAAAAAAAAACGCAATAGTTAAACTGTATCTGGCTTTCTATTGTTACAATTATTATTTATGTTCTATTTTACGTAACAACAAATAACACAAAAAAATAAGTAAGTAACAGAACCTATTTACATTATGACCATTTCTCATTCAAGTCGTGGCTTTTTTGAACGCGTTGATGGTCCAGGTTGGTCAATGTCTTCACTATCAAGGGTCAATGACCCCGGTTCACCGGCCCGTTTTTCACCCTCAGATTCCGAAATTGATACTGCGTCACTTTCTTCCTCAAAATCGGACGAAAGTCCGTAGTCCACGGCTTGATCTTGAACTTCCTCCGGGTCGTCAACGTTCTCTTCATCCAAAATAGCATCTACGGGCCTGTTGGTACATGCATTATCAGTAAAACAACTGGACCAAATGATAATGCAGGAAAGGCCACTTTTTCTGCAGCTGCAACTCGCGCGGCAGCCCTTCTTGCACTTGCATGAAATCTGATTTAGAATGGCATCAGGTGCAGGTTTTTGCGTCGAAGTCACCGGAACTAGCCCATTTTTGCTTATTTCCCAGCCCCACTCTGTTGGATTCTTATCAACGCCTAACCAACTTTGAACTTGGTAGTAAGTTCGCAGGGAATGTTGTTCAGCTGCTTCTTCGGTAGGCGGCAACGATGCCAAAGTGTGCTTATTTTTAAATGCTGTTTTTACGAAACATTTGTACCTATGAACATTCAGCGTCGTGGTTTCAGGTGTTTTACAGCCGTACAAGCACAGGAGAAACTTTTGACCCGCATCAGCAATTTCAGCGGCAGTTGAATTCGGTTTTTGAAAAACTTCAACACAAGGTAAAAGTTACGGGTTATTTTTGAGCGTCTTTATGATTTTTGCTTTCCCTTGATTATACAGGTAGGAAGTTGTATCGCATCCGCTAAATGCATGTAGGAATAACATGTTGTTAGCAACGACTTCGTCACCAAGACTGCTTCTGTTGTAAATTTTTTGGATGGTCTTCTTCCTACCGGGCTTCAAAAGGAAAACATTACCCATGTTCTTGGAGAGTGATGTTAAAATAACCACGAGATCAACGTCTTCGCCAACTATGATGGATGATGCAAAAGGGGATAAAAAAATAACATAAATATGTTACAAAATTAAAATGCAATCAAATTTACTTATGTAATAGTTTTCCTGATAAGTATAAAATGTAAATCCGCGAGGACCTTTATGTAATAAGATGATTAGAATCCTTCATTGAGTCATTCATTGACACATTCTTTCAGTCATTCATTTGTTCATTTAGTCATTCATTGACACATTCACTCAGACATTCATTTATTCGTTGGCTTTCCTTGATGACCACTGTTCTTTTAGAGTAATATTTCCCGAACTCCACTGCTCGATTGACCGAACCGAGTAGGATTGTAGGTTTATGGGTTCCTTTGCGTAGAAATTCTCTGATTGAGGACTTGCTCTGCACCAACTCGTTCCACTCCTGAACACTGAGTTCTAAACCCAATTGAGGCTTATCTAGTTTGTAGAATAAGATGATCACTGGAAAGTCTTTTTGGACCCGGTGTCCGATTTTGCTTCGCACTATTTGCTTCGTTCCGTTGCGCGACACGAAAAACACTTGATTCAAAAGTCTGTTAAAGTCGCGCCCCTACCCCCTTCCCCCTCAACATGTCCATCAACATCATATGTTATCACAGTTATGTTCACCGCAGAGATATGTCTCAGACGAACACAGTCTTCTCTTTACAAATCTTACATATCCTACGTTTTCTAAAAAAAAAAAAGTGGATGGGTTTTTCTACTTTTTAGGTTCTAGGAACCAATGGAGAGTGCGTTCTAAAAAATCCAACTTTTAAGCGAGAAGTACCTAATCGCCTTTACCATTTCCGTCTCGCCGGAAACACCCGGGGTGGCAATGTGTGCGCTGCGCCATAGTTTTTGTACAAAGTTTGCCAGCATCTCCATCTCCGCCTCCCGCAACTCTTCCTGTACCTCCTCCGCGGTCAGCACACGCAAATCCATCCTAGAAGGTCTTATGTACATTAGGTTTTTTGTTTCGAATTTACAGGAAGAGTTTGTACATTGTCATCGGTTTTTGTATTTACAGATGTTGCATGTCGAAAAGGTTGTCGAATTCCAGTGCAACGGTGTCCATGACCCGCTCCTCATTTTGTGCCGCAGGGCGTAGGATGCAGCCATCATGACATACACAAATCCAAATTCCATCCTCTATCATGCAATCGGTCATTGCATTACATTTAAGCATGTGTGAAGACCCATTGCATTT